GAGGTCGTGAATAATTTGAAAGATATATAATATTTAACTCACTATATATGTATAAAGATATATAGATTTAAATAAAACACTTTTTATTTAAATGTATACTACTCGCGTAAACTATAGACAGTAGATATATAGATAGGAAATAAAAAATTCGTAATTACGCGAAACTGAATTTGTATAAAACTTCTGTTAACGATTTTCGCTCACTGTGCCTTTCTAAATTAAAATTTTAGGCTATGAAAATATAAATAATTTAAGTCATAAAATTGCAGTAAGATGTGCTCTAGCGGCCTCATATATAACTTCGATTTAAAATGACCAAAAGATTGATTACATTCCTTCCGTACGCGCTTCATATCTGACAAGTCGAACTGTTCGTAAAAAAATATTTCTTTCTGGGCAGTAGTGTAGTAACAGTAGACACTTTAAATAGAAAACTATCTGAAGATTTTCTACTAAAAAGGCGAATAAACCTAAATCTTTCAAAAGTGGTAAACGTGGAGATATCATCTCGTCTCATATCTTTGAATCCGGTGAATTGGCAATTGCGCGTACGGCTATAAATTGCAATAAGTAGGTCGTTCACCCGCGGATCGATGTAAGGTTCAGGAAGCAGGGTTATTAGATGGTCATCCACCATCGGAGGTACGCCATGGTGCAAGGCTGGGGGTCGCGTGAGAGCCGTCGCCGGATGGACGCAGGAAGGAAGCTGCTAGTTGCCAGCTCCCCTCGGATCTATTTTAGAGTACGTTCATCATTCCAGCGGTTTATTGAACACTCCTGAGTAAAAAGTTCGCGACGGCTCTCGCTGCGGATGCTAAGGGATAATTTGCTACGCGTAGATACAATAGATCGGTCGAGACTTCGTTTGACATGTAATATTAATTATTAGGATATATTCTTCAACACATTTAATTATCTAGGAATTAAACTCTCAGATAAAACTGGCAGAGATATTTATTCTGAAACCCTGTTTAGATTTAGGATAAAAACTTATTTCCTTGCGTTTGTAGCTCAATAAAAGATTTCATTATTCATTTTCTAACTTTTGTGACGGGCTTGTTGGTGTAATAGTAGCAATGCACGGCTATAATCAGGGATTCGATATAACCGAGTCTAACATTTTTCTAATCAGTTTATAATATTTCGGAAATATGTTGGACTTCGTCTGGAAATCTGGATATTAAATGGGCGGTAGAAATATCAAAATTTCCTATGGCTTTGGAAAATAAAGTAATTCATATTGAAGAGTAGAAAAACTAAAATAAATATTCCCACAATGTTCGCTGCCATCAATTCCCGTGAAGGAATTCAACCAATACCTATAACGGGAACGCTCCACTGCTCTGTGTTCGGAAATGACCATTTCCCCATAGGAAGTCACAATTCAATGTTACCAATTATAGTGTCAAAAACAATATAATTTTAAACAGGTACTTTCTGAGCCTATCCCAACGAACTCTATTCTCTTTCCTATCATATTCTCTTGTCTTCCTAGCATAATGCTGAGCATCCAAATATGTATCTAGTAAATATTATAGAATTTATATCTTCCTAATACTTTTTGTATAAATAATGTAATGTTTTAATTTCTTTCCATTCTTTACAATTTCTAATAAAGCTTTGACCGCGTTGATGTCTAATTAGCTGTATTATTTGAATAAAACACTTTAATGGTTTAAAACGCGGTGTATTTTAGTAAAACTTGTTTGAAAATTATTTTTAACTACGGCCCGACGTTTCGGAGGCTTTGCAGCAGCCGTGGTCACGGGGAGACTATTTTGGGTATATTATTATTGATTCTGCATAAAAAGATTGAGAATTACTATTAATAATGTTGTTGTACATTATTCCATACGGCAAGTTTAAAATAGAATTTTCGGGCTGGATTCAAAACCCGTCAGAGCTTTGGATTTTTCCAAAATTTCTTACACTTATTTTTAATTATTTATCTGGATATAAGACAGTTGTAAATAAATATTTATATATTCATAAAATTAATAAGTGATTAAATTATTCATAACGACACCGTGGGAAAGCAGTTAAATTGTTATTTTACTAATTTATTCTTAAAGTCAGTAGAGCACAACCATCAAAACAACGATTCAAATTCGAAATGCTACGGAATTATAATCAGTAGTGTAGCTTATGAATATTTAAAACTGACCCACGATTCCCACAGAATGGTTTATAAGGTGCGGTGTGATAACAATGTTATTTACACTGTTTTATTTTTGACTCGTTGGTTTGAAGTTCGAATTTTCACCGGTTGTTAGCATTTACACTAGATTTCCTAACAAGCTTTTTTATTCTTTATATGTGATGTAGTACTTAAAATGTACACACTGTAGCATGAAATCAGTTTTGTCAGAATAAATAACGTTGATAAAATGTAATATACACTAGAGGGACGTCAGGTTCTTGATTAAAAAATTAGAATCAAATTGTCTGTACTTAAATCCTGCCTTAAGTTTACGCGAGTAGTATAAATTTAAATAAAACATTTCATACGAAATATATAGTTAAACTTATTTACAAATTATTTTAACTACCGCCGATATCTCGGCTGTTTTGCAGCAGTCTCGCCGTGACCACGGCGGCTGCAAAGCAGTTCGCTAATACATTTTGCGTTTTAATTCATTAAAATGTCTTATTTGAAATTGACTACACTTTCCTTAAAATAAGAAGTCGGAACGGAAATATGAGTGAGAGAACATTTCGCAAGAGAATTATCTTAATGTATAAAAATGACGTCAGTAATGAATTTGAAATTTTCATAAGAAATGGCTTAATAAAGCGGTTATCGTCTTCAAGCAATTGTAACAGCTAATTGAAATATGCGTGTTAATACGGACTGGTCTCGGCCCTTTCATTAACTCATAAACACTCATTAGCTATGTTTACTTTTAATTTTAAGATTTCAGAACTATCTCAAATGTACTTCAAATTAAACAGTTTAAAATCCGGCTTCTCTTTGTAGGGCATAAAGCAGGTATGTTTCTTTATTTTACTGACTGATTGTGCCCTTTTGGATAATAATGCAACAAAGCGCTTTGTTAACTTGACTTAAATACCTATTTTTAGTTTTCTTTTATTTTATCCGTATTATATCTTTAGGTAGATAGCATACCGTATTTTGTACATCAAATACCACAGACTCAAAACAAAACGCGATTAAACTTCGAGGATTTTTCATTTGTGTGTCATTTGTATTAAGGAAACAACAGAGAACATCCACACATTCTAGCGTTAGTGTAGCTAATAGACAGAAATCTCTACATCTAGAGTCTAGACAGAAGAGGCGTAGGCATTTCCTTAATAAAATTAAAGTCGTTTTAATTATAGCATTTAAGGGCAGGTGTTGGGTTTAAAAATAGTTTTTGACTAATTGGTGTGGGGTCTATTAGTGGTCTAAGACTGGATATAACGGGTTAACACTCTACAGGATTTTGAATAGACCTTATTGTTAATTACTTTTTATGATTAAAGAATTGTTGTTTTTAAATTGCAATGAAATTTTGCAAGAGTAATTCGCAATAGTTTTAATATAAATTTTATGGTTTACTTGTTGCATTGTGCTATAAAAGTTTTGTTGTGTAATATTTACCTATGTTAGCCATTCGTTACCCTTCACTTCTACACTTCAGTTTAATATTTACATACAGACACCCTAGTTTGTAATAGATTTATTTTCACGTCTTTTAAAATACTGTAATGATAGCGTTTATTTTCGTAGACTTTAGAACGTTGAAATAAACATATAATACGTTGTATCTACTTAAATCTTCGTATAAAGCAACTCTGGTTGCATTCATAAAGAACTGCGTTCAGTAGCGCTGCGTCGCCCGCTAATTCCTATTTCCTCATTATGTGAACTACACTCCACTCGTGTCATTTAACATTTCTAATGCTTCTCTCTAATAACTAACCTCGGTTTATAACGCAGTAAACAAGTCTACTAATCAAATCTTCTATATATTAATAAAAAATTCGGATACATTTTTTTATTTATTTAAAACAGGCTTCGTGTACAATATTCAACTTACTGCTTTTCCATAATATCTATATAAAACATGCCTTATTAAATAATTCATAAGTTATAATATAATATAATGTACTAAGAATATGGTAATGATAGCTATGTAGTATAGAAAATAAGGCATGTTTATCCCCGTACTATTTATTTTAACTGTGTGTTTTGAGATAAACAATATACTGATATATTTGAGTCGTTAAACTAGTTAAATACAAAATTATGTGAAAAAAAACGAGTATATAATTTGTAAAATTGTTTAATGGTAATGTAGTGATTTCTATTATAAATCTTAAAAAAAAACAACTGTCAACGGCTAGGTGGACGGAAAGTATAGTTTTAGTTTAAGGTCTAATTTTTCTTATCCATTTCGATTAGCGATATATTAAAGTATCTCGTTTGCGGAGTTCTACAAACTTAACCGAGTTCATCCGGCGAAATTGTCGCAAGTGCACTTAAGTACGGAGTGTTTTGATTTATTGGTCATTTATTGGACTCTCAACGGTCGTGGTGACGAATAAAAATAGAAAGATACGGCATCGCCTTCAATGAGTATAATCATGGCGTTGAGTTCCTTAGAAATGTCTGAATGTCTGTCTGTCTGTTTGAAACCGTTGCACGGTTTTTATGCGCGGCTACTTAGGTAATGTAAATACAGAAAAAATACCAAAATAGTTTCAGGGTCTATTTATCTTCTCTGTCCTAGTCTATGGTGGAATAGCTGAACTAAATTACAATATATAAAACACGTACCTATTAGGTGGTTAAACGACCAGCCAAGTTTGTATACGGTTACTTACTTATAAGTAGGTAGTAGATATACCGCGTGTTTCACAGTAGAGTAACCAGATTTTCAAAATGTTGACGAATTGTATACCTAATTAAAAAAGAAGCACTAATATGATCTATAGTACAATATTTGAACTACAATATTCTCAATCCAAGGTCTGGCCATTCAATCAAGTATATATTAAACTGGCCCGTGCTCATCAATGTGGAATCGCCAGAAAAGGCTATCATCTACTTTAGATTCGGCTGCCATAAGCCACCGAAGAGCCACTAGAGCCACAGAGTGAGTGCTCTCGACAGCAGAAGTGGGGCGCGCGAGGAAACATGTCGGTGGGTCCCAATTTGTCCCTTTATTATCCAATTGCCGGAGCCAAGCGGTTGGCGTGGGCCCGCGCGTGACCTGCACACATTTTATATTTAAATCTGTGTTAATTTACTTGACAGCACTATGCATCCTTTTCATACAGAACTCTCTGTACGGGTTGTGTGGCCTTGAAATTAAACGGTTGTGACGAAGGGGCTTAGATAAACATCGCATTTCATGACATGCCACCGCCGTGTTTCAATTGCTAAAACATTACTTTAAACATTCTTGGTCCCTCGGTTGAGCACCGTAGTGTGTTTAGTGGTTCTGGGCGACTATTGTCTCCGAGGATGCTGTAGTACGATTTACCACAGTCCCCACGTCACTATTGCCTGACGTGGGCATGCTTTAGGTATGCCATCATTTAAAAAAGAGAATCCCTCGGTAGACACAAAAAAAGTTTTGAATCGCGTCCGTTACAAAAGGCATATACACATTATAGCAAAACAAACATCGACTTTTTAAAACTTTATCAAAACAAGATTAGAACTAAGACTATGTGTAGTTTAATTTTAAAGAAATGTTGACACTTACACATTATTGGTTAATGTAATCACGGTTGGTCTCTTTGTGACTTCTTAAGCCCCAAAGCGAGTAACGCTTAATTAGAAAAATCTTGAAAGAGTAGGGACCCACGGCGCACTAGGTACTTCACTTCATGTATATTATATAAGACTTATTAGTTATAAATTTCACACATGTTTCAACCAAACCAGCGATGTAAGCATCAACCGATTAATAGATTAGTGGTTAGGTTCCTGGTAAGTTTTACGACTTTACACGCGTTTCCCACAGAACCAATGGGTGATTATCGCGTGTAATAAAATATAGTATGGAGTTACGCTAAGATATCTATCACGGGTTTATCACGGGTCAATAACGAATCGAGTTAGAAAAACAGATTTATCGTAGTCGTCACTTATCCTCTGGCGCCTGTTTATTGATCAGTTATGTTGTACATGGTGTCTGCTAATATTTCGTAAATCCTTGCCATATCTTCTGAATATGGCAGGGATTTATTTTTTATCAACGTGTCGTGGTTTTAATCTTAACCGCTTCAAATATGTTTCTAATGTATTTATAATTTTTCGAAAACACGTTGGACTTCTTGTGGAAATCTAAATATTAAATGCCACCATTGTCCAGGACACGAACAACCACCCACAGATGAAAAGTTCTTGAAGTTTAATCGCCTTTCCATAGCAGTCTGTAAATTTCCTAATTTCCAAAACCAAGAAAAGTCGACAGGGCATCCTAACTGGTTTGTAAAATAATAAAACAGCTTTACTACAGAGTTTTTATTTTGGACAAAAAAGAACAAGTAAAGGACGGCATTAAACCCCGTCCAGGACCACAATTGATGTGGTATATTATTATCAATTGAAATATATCCTCCTTGATCCAGGAGAGTCCCATGTGAAGTTAAGAGTATAATCGTAATTGAGGGCTCAATTACCTCATGATGAAGCAGTCGAAAGCATGGACGAGTGCTTTCACAGCGCCCTGCATCCGGCGCGTTCCCAATTGGACTTCCGAGCCGGTTTCCGAAATCGTTCCAACAATTAACTACAACGACAATTTTAATGAGCCTAAAGGGAGCAACTATTGTTTTGTTATTATTAGGGCACGAGACAGGATGCTGCTTAATTAGACACTAATGCATTTAGTGGTTTTATGGGCAGGGAGATATTTAATTTCATAAGCTTTGGCGCGCGACCGTTATCTAAAATTAGGGTGTTAATGTATTCATTAAAAAAACCAAACGGAAATTCCGCCATCGAAATCAAATATATACATAGTACAAAGTTGTTCGCAAGGCGATATATCTATTGGACTATACTATATATTGTAAAGTTATCAATCATAAAGTCCTTTTCACTATCACAACATAGTCGCTTTTTCTGTCCCTATGTGCGCTTAAATCTTTAAAACTATGCAACGAAGTTCACATTTTGAATGTATCGCTAGTTAACGATAAATAACGTCTCAATTATTTAACATACATGCGTTTACATTCACAAAATTATATTGCTCGTTAAAACAATTATAAAAATAACGACCAAAAAGAATGTTCTGTGTTTGTAGTGAATTGAAGTGAATAATCAAAATAAATGTCCTAAATTCAATCTGACAGGCCTTTTAGTAGGTATAACATGAAATGAGTCCATCCGCTTCGTACCAAGGGTTCGATGGGCGTAGTGTTGTGACAAGTGATGTCTATGGCGGAAGAACCATGTTAGCTGTAAAATTAACATTGACACTTATGATCGTTATGGTCCACATGACGGGTTTGTTTCTTGTAAAGGCTATGTATGGCTAATAATCAACGGGGCGCGGATTCGATCCTCACTCCAACATTTTTCTAATCAATTAAGTTGTTTTCTGAGACATTTGACTGTGTCTGGAAATCTGGATATTAAATGGATGATAAAAATGAATATTAAATTTCGGTCCTGGTTGCGAATCACCGTCCACAGATGAAAAAGTTGTCAACTTTAATCGCACTTCGGCTTCAGTCTCTTATAGATATCCAAATATCCAAAGCCAAGATTAAGTTTAGATCTTATATGGCTGGGGTATTCCACTTGCCGTCAAGTGAACCTCGTGTTTGTGTCCTTTATCATAAAAAAAAACACGTATATTTTGCCCAAAAAATTATTGAGAGTTTACGGTATATTATGATACATACTTCCGGAATAAAGATGAATCTAACTAGCAGCATCTAATTAAATTATTTGGAGAACTTCCACTGGCTTCGATGCTTCGACTTTAGTATTTTTTTTTTCGATTGGGAAATACAATAAACTTACCATAACACTACACGCTTGTATTACAGAAATATCCTTTAAGCAGACTTAGGTAGATGCTTTCTATCATGCCAAAAAAAATACATCAGTGATCCTAATCCAAAGCCAAAATAGGCTGACATCTTGTCTTGATGTATGTCTACTATATACGGAACCCGAAGCTTGTCGTCTCTATAAAATATGCATAGCCGTTGGAGTATCTACACACTCGTATCCAAAACATGCAGCAACCAGAACGTACCACTGTGAAGCGTAAATCAAACAGGGCAAATGCGTTCACACACTAATTGTCGGTTCATCGTGGTGCTAACTGGTGAATCAGGTGCCCCAGATCACTGATGAATGTGCGCCCGGGGTCCCGACCCACAGAATTACGAAAACAAAATGCAGTGATCTTTGTCGCTTTGACAGCGTCTTGCGTAATCTGTACTATTATAAAGGTGACGAATTTGTTTGTATTGTTATGTACATATGTTGTATGTACTCAATTGTAAAATTATTGTTGTGTTGGTTAGGGCACTCATCGAAGAAGGTGTTAGGTTATAATATCACACTAAATTGGAGCGGAGAACCAGTGGGAAATATAAAAAAATAATGGGAAAAATTACTCATGCGAAAACGGTTCCAGATACTCAAAAAATATGTATGAAAGACTTATTATCTTCAAATAATTTTCTTTTAAGATTAATTCGCAATAACGTTGCAATGGTACGCGTACGACTTGCAGAAGAAAAAAAGGGTTTGCAAAAAAAATTTTTTACCCCAAAAAAAATTTTTTCCCGGGGGGGGGGGGCCCGGGGTTGTTTTTTTTTTAAAAACCTTTTATATATTTTTTGGTTTTTTTTTAAAAAAATTTTTTTTTTTTTTGGGGTAAATTTTTTTTTAATTTAGTTAGATAAATGTTATTTAACTCAAGCGCAATGTAATTTCGTAATTACATTAATAAATTGTAAAATTTGATAACTACAAACGCGAAACCGTAGTTCAATTGGTACAGCAACTGCATGTGGTGTGGAATCGTGGCCCACTCATTTTATAATTTCATGTAAATTGAAAACAATTATTAACACTCATTCGTTCTTTAATTTAAAATAAATATTTTAACTTTCTTTAGTTTTCTAGAACTTTTAGAACTTTGTACCTTTTTCAAAATCCATCATTTCAACAAACCTAAAACAATCATTAATATATTGATGTATAACAGATAAAGCACCATACTGCACTTTACGCAAGTAATATTATGACGGTGTTGATGTGATATGTTATTTAATTTGTTTCATTAACCATAAAAACAAAGGAAGCCCACAGAGAAAATTAAAAATTAGGGTACGACCTTATTTGTTCACTTAAACAATGGTAATGCTCGTAGCTTAATTGTATTATGTCCTTAGTAACTGTTACTACGTAAAGCTTTACGTTATCTGGGGTGTAATTTTAATATGCGCATTTGTAATTTATGTTTTTCTTATAAATTAATTGAAATAAGTTTTTCTAACAGTCTATTTTTACTAAATCAACAATTTATAAAATTAAAAATGATTACATATTCACGTAAATTTTGGACAAGAATAAACAGGTCTTATACTGGTTTCATAAAAAGCAGGATAAAAATTAAAATGAAGGCACCTGTTTTTACTAAATCACCACCCGTAAAGGACGTTTCTCAACCGTAAAAGTCCGTTAGACAAGACGCCCTTATAAATGGCTTCTCACGATCCTTGACGGATCCCTATGTACGTTAGAAAAATAAAACAGACAGTGGCAATGATACGGACACTTGACGTTCAGATACGTGTGTGTTTCAACCAAGGTATTCGAAGAGCATGTGAACAGATGTCGTAAACATACGCGAAAATATTCCCGACAAATTGATTGTAAACAGAACACATTTGACCTAATTTTGAGACAACACAATTACGACTACAAAGCGTTCTAAAACAATGGAATTAATCCACTTTGACAGAAATGATGATGTCAACTACGGTGCGATAATTTCGACGTTTTAAACCATCAATTATGTACAGAAAACTATCCTTAATTTAATCGTATTAGAGCCCGTACGCTGTATATTTAATTGCGCTAAATTGTACTATGATAAACATGGTCATGTAATTTGTCTGTCCTGTCATCATAGTTTTTTACTGTATAATTCAATTATAACAGTCATGACATTGATATTCGTAATTGATGCAGATTATTCTTAAGATCGATCTATTATTACAGTTGTATGTACAGCGCTTGTGTAAAAAATGTGATTACACAATCTATAAAAACAATTTGATACCTTGTTATAAATTTTTACCCTTATTTCGTGCTTTTTAACGTAACAGGACGTTTCACGCTTGAGTAAAGAATTAAATTGATCCCTTTTTTGCAGTGCAGCGAAGGGTGCAGTCGTTGGTTAGAAGGATTGGATTTTTCTTGTCAGACGGCTTGTGTAAGTATCGAGTTTTTTAATAAGCTGCGACTAATTTTGAATACTACGTGAGTGACTTACATTGGAGTCCTAAACTAAAAATTTTTTTTTTCAGAATGTTACTTCTGAGGGTGCGCTATCTCGGGAATTATATTGTGTGATGGGATGTAATGAAGCTCTTAATACATACTACCAAATGATCAAAGGTAAAGTTGGAGTTATATACAATTTAGTTCTGTGTCAGGCGCCTTCTTTACCTACTCTAAATATATTTTAACTGTACGGAAGAAGAACATATTGACTTCTGTGCTCAGCGTATTTAAATAAGGTTCTCAATATATTTCAATCTTTAACGCTTACGCTTGACAAAATCTTTTTCCTACTCGGCTATGTTAGCGTAAAGGCTCTAAAGCCAAACTCTAAAGAAATACCTACTAGATTTGATATAAAGATATAAACATTTAGTTCTTCTTTTTTTTCAATAGATTTAATTGGAACGCCGCCAGCACCCGCGTTAGTGGCTGATAGTTTGACTGCGACATCTCTATCATTAGTTTGGGAAGCTCCGAATCTTGGAAATCTCACCTATCTTGTTCAATGGAGATACGAAGAGCTTCCAGGGAGTTGGCAGTACTATTCGAACTCTAGCAATGTCAACAGATCTATTATACACGTTGAGAACTTGCGACCTTATACGAAATATCGGGTAAGTCTAAATGTTTTTTTATACAGTCTACTTACAACCATGTTACATATTTTCATTGCGTTAAGGTTATTTTTTGTTTATAGACATTATATACAATTTGATGATTTGCTTAAATGTTGCCATTTTAGTAACATTTGATGACAAACATTTTTTTTTATAGTTCCGCGTCGCAATATTCTTATCTGGACGGAATGGGGCCGGCGAGCCGGTGTATTCAGCGCCATCTGTGGTTATACTAACATCAGACAGTGGAAAACCGAGTTCCGCTCCTGCTGCGCTTAGGGCAGCTGCACCAGATCCGAGTAGAGTTGCCATATCTTGGGAGCCAGGGCCTTTCCCTAATGGCCAGATTATATCGTACGTTCTACGATTAGCTGATACACAGCCAAACACAATTGATGTACTAGAGGTACCTTTACATTATCAATAATATGTAATCTAATGCTTACTTATTAGTTGCTCTGGATTATTCATTGAATAAAACACTTTTGAACTATTTTTTTTCAACCATTCTTTTCAACCAACACACTCTTTAAGTCAAATCTGTCAGTTTGGATCGTTCAAAATAAATAACTATAGTTCGCTTATTAAACCGTTCAGAATTTCAAATTCATTCATTCTTTTCTTCTTTTTATTTATGTACTTATTAAAAATAAATTATGGCTTTGTAGGATAGTCTATGACAAAATTATTGATTTACAGGATATGCCAGCATCAAACAATACCCTCTTCTACATGTTCCAAAATTTAGCACCCGCCCGTGAGTATAATGTTTCTGTGGCGATGCGCAACGCGATAGGAGAGGGACCAATGGCATATGTCCTTGTATCTACACCTTCCCTTCCAACATGTAAGTTTACTATAAACTATATCTCCTATAGATATATACATATTTTATGAACTAAATACAAAGCTTAAGATTTTTAAGTCCTTGAAAATAGTCGCTAGAGCATGTGACAAATTTAACTTTTTACATATTGCCTGTTTACATTGACTAATAGGCATTTGAGAACGTTAAAAAGTTTAAGAAACAAATTATAACAAGGTATATTTACCTGTAACCCAAGAAGTATTATCATTATATAAAAGTTGTATAACTTTTTCATGTAAGAAATAACTTATCGAACATCTACAGATTCTACAGAGTTTATGTATATATTCTTACTTCTAAATAGTTTTTTTTATGAAATATTTCCAGCGGTACCATCTCAACAACCTATCCTAATTTTGGGAGGGGAACATAATGTTCTGGCGGCGTCTGCTAACGATATGTTATCGGATCCTGTAATCGAGCTCTTTAGTACCGACAATTTTATTACAGGTGGGTATTTAGATTTGTAAAGTTGTAGAAAGTTACTTGAACTCGGAATAAATATTTACATTTACGCTTCAAAGCAAAGAAGGATTTTTTTATTTGATAATTTTCATTTTAATGTGTAAATTAAGTAAAACTCCGTTATTTAGCCACTAGCATATTTCTCTTTAAGTGGTTCTGATTAAATATTTAAAAAAGTACTGCATTTTAGGTAGTCCATATTTAAATAAATCACGTTTAACTGAAACATCTGTTTCCTCGTGGCTAGATTCTCCAAATAACCACTAAGAAGAAACAGATAACGCTTGCCAAAATTTGACATCTACCTCGCGTATCTATAACGTGTTTTTTGATAGAAACCATATGTTAAAATTAAAATCGTGATAGTTCAACTTATTTATTTTTAATCGTTTCAGGCGTGGGATTGGACATATCAAGCGATACTTTATTCGTATCTGTGTCCGATGGCTACATATATAAAAGTTCTTTGTCAAAAAAGAGTCAGCCGGAAGCAATTTTAACACCAAAAACAATAGACTACAAGCCCTTAGATCTCTCAGTTGACTGGTTGAATCAACATCTATATATTCTTGGCGAGGTTTATTATAACCGAGAATCCAGTGGCACAAATGCAAGTTTATATCCTAGTTGGGAAATTTTACGGTGTGACTTTGATGGCAAAAATGGAATGGTTGCAAGATCAGGTTTTAATTCACGTCCTATTCATTTCGAAGTCGACGCTTACAACGGGTAAGTAACACATAATACATAAACGTGGTGTTTCATATATCCAAAAAGAAGTTAGATGTCATCATTTAAAACGGGTAAAATTTTCCAAAACTTGTAAAACTTTATTTAACACTGAAGACAGTAAGTTCGAAAGTATTTACAGTAAATCTCAATTTACATGGTATTCCAAATTTTACTTCAAAATACTGGCAACTTTTTCGTACTTTCATATACTTGAAAGAATACTAATTACTATTAATTATTTCAGTTATCTATTTTGGGCACTACGCGGTATTGAGCGTGGGGGTTTGTACCGGATCGATCTGGCTAATATTTCTAACGGAATACGACACGATTCGCGCCCCGAGCAGATAGTGCATGATGCTAATCTTGGAGCCTTTACTGTGGACCACGCAGATTTTAGATTACTTGTTACTCACATACGCCGTAACACTGTGCTGGCTGTTTCGTTGGATGGGTTAGTTACAGATTTCACAACAGCACCTTTTACATTAAAAAAAATAACTTTTAATTTTGACACAGTTTTACCACACATATAATTCTTTTATTTATTAATGATCTGTGAACATTTCAGACGCGAAGTATCCGATTTTCGTAGTAACACGCAAAGACCAATGTTTTTCTCACCGCGGTCTATCGCGTATGCCAATGGCCTGTTCTATTGGACAAATGGCAATGAAATGCTTATGGAGGAATACCATCCAAAGAGAGACAGCTACTTCCACAACGAGTATCCTGTAACGTATAACATCAAGACGATTGCGACTAGAGAAGTCTTGGTAGCTTTACGTAGTTGTCAGCCTATCCCAGTACCAGTTAATCCTCCTTTGGCGGTTCAGGGTGTTATGGGGATTAATCGCGCGAAGGTATCGTGGTCCGCACCACATTTGTTGGGACATCAAGGTACTGGTGCTTGGCAGCAGTGGACGTTTCATTTGCAATTAACTCATATTGAGACTGGCGAAACGATAGATTTGTAAGTTTCAAAAGTTTGTTATAGTCTTTAAATGAGTGTGATTTAAATTCTGAAGAATTAAACTTTTAAAGTAGTAAGTAGTTTTCATAGGTACTATCAACGATCTTAATTTCTAATCTTTCAGAAAAAATATTCATGATACAACTAGCATAGTTGATAATATAGAACAAGATACTGAGTACGTTATAAAGGTCGCAGCAGTCACCCAATCTGGGTCAGGTACGTAAGAGGAACATAAAATTGTCACAACAATAAACATTAACTCGTTCACTTAATCATATTAATATTTAGGGCAATATTTAGGATATTTAACTTTGCATTTTTATTGCTTGTTTAAGATTAATTTGGTTTTATATGCTTTAATATTCTAGGTCCATGGTCATCAGAATTTGTGGGTAAAACCTTGAAATCATCACCTACCACATTGCAAAGTACACTGTTATGGTCTGGCCCCGATGGTTTATTGCAGACGGACTTAACTGGGGACAAATTAAAAACCTTAATTGATCGGTAACTATATATATGAATATACAAATCGTGTATACAGTTGGCAGTGCTTCTTCCTACATATATAAAATCATTTATATTATAGGAAAATTCTGGACCTCGAGCACCTTTATATAACGGATATATCTTGGTACCGAGATAAACTTTATTTAGTAACAAACGCATCCAAAGTAATGTGGTATAACACTACGACACATACAAGAGGTTTTATGCCAAATATGGAAAACGTAGGTAGCTTAGCTGTGGACTGGGTAGGCAAGAAGATTTATTGGTCCAACCCAAAACAACAGTTGGTAAGTTACATAGCACAATTATTACCATCAAGCATTATGTATGTGTGGTCCTTTGAGCCGGATTAATCGTTATATTACTGCTTTCAGATAACTCGTGGTAATTTTGATGGAAGTAATAGAGAGCCTGTACCAATAGTGACAGTCGCTAAAGAATTGACTATCGACTCACTAGGAGCTTATATTTATTGGAATACGGGTCACGCTGTAGAGGCGGCTAGGTTAAATGGAGAAAATAAATTAATTTACTACCCAGCTCAGCTATTCAGTGGAAAACAAGGTAAAACTGAAATTTCTTAAACAACCACTTTTTAACTTAAATATGATTTCCTTGTAGATAGAGACTGTAAGTAATAAAACCATTTTTCAGTTATGGGACTTACTGCAGATCTAGAAAATAAATGGCTTTATTGGCTAGTAAGAAGTTATGATGGATCTGAACTTCACAGAGCCCCAACAGCTGACAAACTTTCACTCGGAAGTAATGAGGTAAAAATAATAATATACATAAGTGTAGAAATATTATTAATAGCGTCTAGTAAACTAAAAATATATCAGACCATTATTTTCTTTGTAGCAGGTCTCTGGTACATTAGTAAGTCGTTTATCGGGCACGGCAACCCTAGGTCCGCTTTGTTACTTCAGCGAGAGACTAATTTGGGTACAAGATGCATCCCGAGCAGTTGTGTCGGACCTTGCGGGGAGGTATACGGCAGAACTCATACCACGGGTACACGTGATCACTGTAAGAGATTCTACCTTACATGCTCATAGTGGTTAGTATTCATTAGATTTGTTAAATTACCTACTGTTTTTTAACAGTCTTCATATTTTCACTTTGTCCAATAACTAAATTCTCTATTATTTTGTTGTATGTATGTAATGTACCAGTATTTTGGGAGGTAGTCTAGTTGACGTTTCTTTATTTAAATTCAAAACATTTATTGCCATAATAAGGTATTTACAAACTTATAACTAAATTGTGTGCATAAAAAAATAATAGTAATAAATATATATAAGAGATGGCAATCGGTACAAGTCTCAGCTATGCTGCTGAATGCTTGTCACACTCAGCAGCGCTGGTTTTCAAACTGGCCCGGGCATAGAAGGAAAGGAGTGGAGTTTTGTAAAGTAATATAATTCCAAGATTGAAATACCATAACAAACATATACATACTAGAATAATAGCCATTCATTGTTGACCATCTGCTTTCCAAGGAGGTCCAGTTTAACATGCCGCTTGAAAGTCGTATAGGTCAGGTCCTTGGAACTAGTTTTAAGAGGCGGAGGCCGGTCGTTCCATATTTTCAAAGCGTCGTTAATAAACTTCTATCTTATTTTTGTTAGAATCCATAATTGCGATACCCGAAACTATAAATGGATCATCAATAATCGTAAAAGGAACCTGGGATAAATTTAATGTCACGTGGCTTCCTGCTGTGAGAGTCAATGTAAACAACAGCAGGGTCTACTACGATGTCAGCTTACAGTTCCCGAAGAATTACAAAATTGAGGTTCTTATTTTAATATTTTTTCTGTTCATAGCTATTTATTATATGATAATAATAATCTAATAAGGTACGCATCCATCTATTATATTATAAATCTTAATTACTCTGCAGAAAACTGTAGAGACACATTGGTTGGAAGTAAATGAGCGTACAATAGATCCTTATAGTGCAGCTGAGGTAACGGTACGTGCGTACACGCAATGGGGTGGAGGTGCTGCAGCTCGTGCACGTCTACGGACTCCTCAGGCTCCGCCTTCCGCACCGCACGCTCCTGCCTTATACATTCACAAGCATAGGTAACATTTCTCTAATCATACCGTGTTAGGACCAAAGTTGTCCAAAATGTGATGATAATTTTTTTTTAGTTCATGAAACTAAAAAATATCTTAAGTTCTTTGACCGCGGTGTAAAACCTTCATAGGCCGAATTATTTACTGATTGTAATACGTTCCATACATAAGGCAGCATTCTCTTATATAAATCATTATTAGATACAACACTACGTATCCTCTTTATTATAGTGATGACACAATGCGAGCGATTTTTCGTTGGGGTGCGCCTCGACTCAGCAATGGCATAGTGCGGGGTTATGAAGTGCAATGCTGGGCGGTACCCCGGTCACCACCCGCGCGTCCTTCTGCCTGCGCACCCGCACGACTTGCGCCTCATCATACTCAACTTGTTCTCACTCATTTGCAACACAACACGACATACTTCTTTCAGGTTAGTATTGAGCTATTAGGTAAATTGACTTGTAAATATCACATCGCTGCACCTGTAAAACATCCACGTTGATAACTGTACTATATATACATATGACGGCGTGGGTAGTTTGGAACAAAACGGGACAGCAATACTCGTGCAAGCTGCACGTGCAAACTGATATAACCGATTACGTCCTTCGCGAAGCTCGGCACCGGCGTCGATCGTCCGCGAAACCGCCTTCGTCGGCGACATGATTTGCTCCGCGTACCGCTCACCCGGGTGAGCTTCCGTCCTCTTATAGCTCTTATAGTTTTCACCCGCATTGCGGCGGTCCAAGCCGAGGTCGACGCCCCCCCTCGGGGCACCCTTAGTCTAGCCGCAAACACGCCCAAACGTCCGGTTAGTATTCGAAGCCCCGGGCTCAATACGTTTAATGATAGTCAAAAAAAGTATCGCGAGGCACGTTGGTACAAAGTCTCCTAGTTGTGTGGACCACTGTCTCTAGAAACACCAAGCCCATTAAAGTGATTCCTTACTTTGCCATATATTTTTATTTGGTCATACCTGAATCTTACACATATATTATTTGAAAATAGTATAATAATAGTATTATTAATAGACATTTTGTGTTTTTATATATTTTCTATTATTATATAAGCGTAAAATCCTGGGTTAACGTCACTTACTATTCTATCTTTTTACAGGTCCGGGCCTTTACTGATGCTGGCTACGGTCAATTTAGTGAAATCGTATCAGCTTTTTCAGAAGAAATAAATCCCATACCGAAAGTAATGATATCGTCTCAAGAATCCATCAAAATCGTTGATTTAGGCACCGGAGAAACTGAAATAATACCGAAGAGTACAGGCATACCCTTAGACTTTGCTGTTGATCTTGAAGAAAACGTTGCTTATTGGGAAAATGATCTTGAAGAGATTTTCTCATCTCGAATTAATGGAAGTGGACATTATAAAGTAAGTTTGGTTAAAAACGTTTTATTTATATACGTTGGAAAGTAGAATAAAAACAAATGATAAATTTATTAGAATCTTGGTACTATTTTACTCTCTCGGCTCGAAGTATTAGAAAATGATTTTTTTTTTTGCGTGGGGAAATCCTTTCGGATACCCACCGCACCAGAAGGAACAAATGGTTTATATCGGACTTAAACCGACTAAAACCCCACAATAAAAACCTCCGACACAAATGTGAAGAATGTTAGAACTCGCACGGTAGCCTCAATATATCTGCCTCTTACGGCACTCCACAGAATACACTATTGACTCATTCATATCATAAAGAGCACATGGTTCCCCATGCACTAAGTACAATACAAGTAAATAAATAAATACACACACATAATTAATAATTAGAAAATTGTTAGTTTATATTTTATTAACGTCTTAGTTATGTATCTAATCCTAATTTTCTTTTCATCAGTTAACATCTATCAATGGTACGGCGACTAGTATATGTGTTGACTGGGTCAGTCGATCTGTGTATTGGTCGCAATTGGAAAGGGCCTCTGTGGAATCGTATGTGATCTACCGGGCGAATCTGGGCTCACCCAATACACGACCACATATCACTAGAGTTCTTGCAAGGCATCAGCGGATACACAGCTTACAAATTATCCCTTTAATGCGGTAAATTTTAAGTTCTATATCTTCTGCATCAACATGTGCTGATGAAATTAATCATTTTATTAGTATATTGTTGATAGGTAGACTTCAAGTACATTTCTATTCTATTCCAGATCATTATACTGGTACGAAGAGAGTAACCACACTGGATTCGGAACACTTATGACTGCCAAAGTAGACGGAACCAATATCAAATCTTTTTTCAATAATTCAGAAGATAGTTCAGAGTTAGATTATAGAGACGATTGCAACTGTCCCGAGAACCCACAAATAGCGAAACCATTTGTTATAGACTTGACAAATGATATAGAGGTTTTCTTCATCGATCCTTGGTTGTATAGAGTAATCGCGACCGATGTTACTGGATGCCACTGCAGAGTAGTATTTGATGCGACAGAGAAAAAGAAAAACGGCTTCATTCCGATGTCTATAACCGTCGATAGTAAATACGTCTATTGGTACAACTCGACAGATAGATCAATATTTTACACAAACAAACTGAAAAAAAGCAAAATCGAATACGTGAAATCGACGTTTGGTTATAAAATAATGGCGTTGGATGTATCAAATCAGCCTTATCCACCTAGACACTGTTTATTCCCCAATGCTAAGAAACTAACACCACGAGTACTATCAAACTCGGCAAATAGCATAAGGATGCAAATGCCGGAAATACATAAACCGGAAAACTGCAGCAATTTGGAATATGAGATGACGGCTACGGAATATACAGTGCTCTACCGGCTACACGCTAACGATACGACGCCGTGCGATCGAGAAACTTGTTTCTATTTGACGACGACTAGCACTGAAGTAACTCTAAATGAGCTTAAACCATTTACAAATTATACAGTGAAGATCGAAGTGAGCAATTATTACGCTAAATTGCATGAGATAAAGCCCATAATTGGTCCCATGTGCTTGCTGCAGACCGCTGCTGAAGGTAACTATTATGTTCTGATTTCAGTTTTCTGTGGATCAGTATCTTTCTTCGATTGGAAAGGGTCGATGCCATCTATAGGCAAAATGCCCTCGAAAAGCAAATGGCAATTTTCTTGTGATCATAAATCTGTAAAAGTTGTATCCGTAGACAGATAAACAATGCATTCGTATTTATCTGAAGTTTCATCTTTTAGCTCCAACAGCACCCAAAAATGTAACTGGCATAGTGCTGAGTCCGGTTTTGGCCCGGGTCGAGTGGACACCAGAGCCTGGATTATGGTACGAACTTCATTGGCGAACCGATGATTCGCCTTCTCTACCACATCGTAAAGGTAAGATTTTGGTTTGATAAAGTAACTCTTAACATAATGTAACAACTACAATATTTAAAAAAAAAGCGAAAAGGTGTAGATGAAGGCTTAAAGAAGATGCTATGTATCATTCTCTTTATATATATGCGTTCATTTCTTTAAAAAAAGTGGTTACTAAAACGTTTTATTACGAAATAGTTGGAAGGTTTTAAATTCTTTCTATATTCTAATTAACTACCAATTTATTTCAGAGCATAATACGTTTGAAGTGTCAGAGGGCGGAACTGCAATAATGACACCATTGTCTCCCAGTACCCTATACACGGTTTGGGTACGCGCCCGATCCCGATATTCAACTGTATCGGCGGATTCGTTACCGCTACGTCTTCGGACCTATCCACCACCCGCACCATTGACTCTAAGAAATGCTACAGCTTACACCCTTGTCGTTATTTGGCCTCCACCAACTAGCTATACTTTGCACCAGTAAGTTGATTATTCTGTGTCTATTTATATTGTTCAATTTGACGACATAAACAGTGAATTTCATAACAATTCACCAATTCGGAGAGTTTTCATTTCAAAATTTTAATAACTTTGATGAGTTTCTAAAAAAAATAGTTAAGGATATTATTATTTTAACATTGAAAACACAATTATTAGTATTTATTCCAATTATTTCAGCTTTAATCTAGAAAATAAATAAATAATACCTATTCTATAGTAAGCTAAACGTTATTTGAATTTTGAACTACGAGAACTTAATCCCACTTCTGATTATCATATTTATTTGTACAGGTATGTGGTTGAATACAGCGAAACAGGTGGCACGACTGACTTATGGCTACCTTGTGAAATGAGCGGTAATGCTGAGTGGTCAGCTACAGATCTGCGTCCGAAAACTAGATATCGATTCCGACTTCGGCTCCAATATGTCAATAATACCTCGCCATATTTTTGGCCAAGAGATGACAGCTTTGCATTCGAAACTTTAGGTACGGAACATTCTATTATTATAAATCTTTAGGTAATTCCAGAAGTTTTTTAGTCCACGCCACATACTCGTATGACAAAGTAGGCGAAATTCCAGAGTGAATGCAATGCGACATAGGTTTTTCCAGGGATGATAGAGACACTTTCAAGCATGTACTTTTTGGAATATTACATTTAGTCTATATTATTTCTGGCTTCTCGAAACGCTTAATTTCACGAATTGCATTTGTTTGTAATTATAGGAGATGTCCCTGGTCCACCGGGGCCTTTACGTGTAGAAGCAGTTGGAGAAAAAATAGTCAGAGCGTGGTGGGTCGAGCCAGATCCACGGGGTGACCCTGTCACGTTCTATAGAGTTTGGGGCACTCCAAGAAACAGGTATTTATCGACTTATATTATTCCGTTATTTACTTAAAATTACTTATTATTAAAATGTATAAATATTCTATTTAGAAATAATTTTTTTTTCCATCAGAATCGAGCATATAGACGATAATTCGACCAGAAATATAAGTGAGCTAACGCGCGCTGATTTACCTACCGATGTCGATGATGATATGAAAATTCGAATCATACGCGAAGGATTGGAATTACTATATAACGGCAGCGGTAAGACATTTTTGTAAATCTGAACCTCTGCAACTCTACAAACCTTGTTTTAGGCCTAACAATATTTAATACAAAATACTACACTTGGGCATGCAAGCTTTCTATTATCAAATACATAATTGAAGAAGCAATTGACTTTTCTCATCCAAAATCCTGTTTCTCATAGAGGGAAAACATATTTCTATGTTCGTTTTACTGATTTCTTTTATTTACAGGTAAGGATTAAGTCTTTAGTTAATAAGCTACTAGACTTAGTGGTTTGTAGGGGTCGCAAATTTAAATAATTTTCTATTACAGTGAGCTACTGGCTTATCGCCTCAGACGATATTGGCGCGGGTTATGTCGCGCGAGTTCAAGCACGCAATTCGTATGGCTGGGGTGCACTCTCGCCCGCTAGTGAACTTCTTGCAGCTCCTCTGGTACACGCTGCACGGCCACACCCAGCGGCTTTAGCGTTAGCTGTTATCACGCTAACCGGTATCGTCTTAGCTGCAGCCCTAGCGTTGTTCTTCAGTAAGTTGATAAATAAATACATGAAGAATAAGCAGGACTGCATATTTTACTTTTTTTTCATAATTTAAAATCAATCATCAAAAAAAATAGCTTTATTATACTAAATTGTTGGTTTTAAATACTAGCCAAAATATACCTTAACTGATTTTTATTCAATGCAGTAGAACTCGACTTAATACCAAACTAAAAATTATCTTCTTTTCTATTCAATTTACAGCCTACAATAACCGGAGTAAGAAAAAAGCGGCTTTGGAGTCTCAAGTAACATCGCCTGTGATACGGAGAGGACCTGATGTAGAACTTGCAACTTTAAGACAGCTGCCTATCAGACACTCCACTAATATTCTCTATAACCAGGTATATATAATAACTAGCGGCCCGTCCCGGCTTCGCACGGGTAGACATAAATAGGTACAGATATTTAAATTATAAGCATATTAATTAAAACGACGATGAATCACTAAATTAGAAAAAAAAAGTATTGCGCCTCCTAGCTGTTAACGACCGTTGTGTATCTCGCTGTGTCAGAAGCCGCTGCGAGCGTTCAGTGTTAGATTCCCGTTCACGCGTTCGCGAATTACTAGCTCTATTTCCTTCAAGTCGCTGCGAGCGCTCGGCGCTTGATTGTCGTTTGTATAGCTGCGACGATCTTGCATTTCGTTCTGCAAGACAAACTGAACGTTCGACGCTATTCTCTGGCTCGCGATTGGGACGCGTACACTCTAATACTTTCCGGAGGACCGAAGACTCTCCAATACGACGATTTTGTGCTAATCTCGCTTGGGAACTATTCTTAGGTATTTACTTTAAATCAGAGAAATTAAGAATAAACTAATAATAATACAAAAGAAAATATTCAAGTTCAAAGAGATAATTCCGAAAAGAACTTTGACAAATATTATGCAAAATGTGATTCCTGATACTAAAACTAAGTAACTCTGAAAAGAACTTTTTAAGTGAACCATAAAACTGTTTCAAAAACCGAAATATTCAATGTCGTTCATCGAATTAGATATTAGATGCGCGGCGTGGCGGCCACCGCCGGCATGCATTTTTATTTTAACTTCATGATATCTTTTGAATGGAATGTCCGATTTCAATAATTAAAAAAGTAATCATCAGGTATTGAGACAGTCTTGAATATTAAATTATTTGGATAAAAAATTATAAACGGTATGGATAACATGGTCTGATTTTGATCGGCATTTCTATTAATTTGTTAAATGTAAAAAAGGAGTTATAGCTACAATAGTTAGACATATGCTCTCGTGATGTTTTTTGTAGATATTGATATATTCTATAATATTGTCGAACATTTTTTTTGTCCTATCATTAATACTTTTCGCAGCGTATGCGAAGAAAGACATTTAACGGCAATTTTTTTACGCCTTCCGTTGGGTTTAGTAAGAATTTCTATAGATGCCTCTGGTAATCAAGTACTAAATATAGCCTATGTTACTCAGTGATAATGTAGCTTTCTAATGAAAAAGGAATTATTCAAATCGGTTCAGTACTTTTTCAGTTTATCCATTACATACAAAAATACAAATCTTTCCTCTTTATAATGTTATAGTATAGATAATTTATATAATTTTTGCCCATAATCTGATCGTCACCTTGCCAGTCTGGACTAGATGCAACCTGCTTTTTTGAGATTTTCAATATTCGCTTTGTCTAAAGCAGTATGAACTTAAATACTGTCTAGTTTACGCGAGTAGTACACATTAAAAAAAAACACTTTAACGGTTTAAAACGCGATATATTAGTTAAACTTATTTGAAAACTATTTATAAAAAAACTACCATCTCCTTCAAAGGTAGATTAGATTTTGTCTCCAACTTTATTTTACCTTTTTATCTGCAATTGTATTATTCTTTCAGGGTATGTATTGTCCTTCGGACGCAGAACTAGCTGCATTGCCTCATATTCGTCGTGAGCAAATCACACTTACAAAGTTCTTGGGCTCGGGGGCGTTTGGCGAAGTATTTGAAGGACTTGCAAGACACATCGACACCAATAATCCTAACACTAAAGTCGCTGTTAAGGTCAGTTTTAGTAAAGTTAGACTTAAGTTTCCTACCGTATAAAAATGTTCTAGCGTTTCTTCAAATTATTTTACTGATATATTATTATTCACATATAGACTCTCCGAAAAGGCGCGACCGAACAAGAAAAGACGGAATTCTTAAAAGAAGCTGCTCTTATGTCTAACTTCAAACACGAACACATACTACGGCTGCTGGGCGTCTGTTTAGATAATGACCCCAATTATATTATCATGGAATTAATGGAGGGGGGAGATCTTCTTAGCTATCTTAGGGCTAAGCGATCCTCACTGGTAAGTCTACGCCACTACCCACATCAAATCAAAAATTTCTAATTTTATATAACTCATGAAATATATTCAAAATCGTCTAGTTGTCGTCCTATATATAACACCGTTAGCAAGATGCGCTGTCGACCCATTTTGATTTTGGATATTCGGAAATTCAGACTGAAACCGAAACGCAATTAAAAGTCACGACTTTTTCATATGTTGACGGTTTCCTACCACTCATTTAATATCCAGATTTCCAATTGAATTATTCAATATAATAGCATAAATTTTTAGGGTACGCCTGAGTCGCTTACATTGCTAGATCTACTGAACATGTGCGTAGATGTAACAAAAGGGTGTCGCTACCTGGAGGAGATGCATTTTGTCCATAGAGACTTGGCCTGCCGTAATTGCCTGGTCGCTGTGCGTGATGGTCGCCGGATAGTCAAAATAGGAGACTTTGGCCTGGCAAGGGATATCTATAAGAACGATTATTACAGGAAAGAAGGAGAAGGTAAGAAAACCGTTTTATAAATATATTGCAAAAATATGGGTCAACAATTTACAAACAACTTTTAGCAGTTCTTGAACCTATGTAACTTTCAGGCTTACTACCAGTGCGATGGATGGCCGTAGAATGCCTTGTTGACGGCGTCTTCTCATGCCAATCAGACGTGTGGGCGTGGGGTGTTCTTTGCTGGGAGGTAATTTATTTATTCATTTATTACACTAGTAGCCTAAGCTGATGCGTGAAAATTATAATTTCTTGGAGAATGAGTCTAAAATGTTTTTGAATGTATTTAGTGAAGCAGCCGTGTTAATTTCCTCGGGGAGTTGATTCCAGTTGCATAGATTATAAAGAAATTTATCAGAACATTTCCGTTGCATTGAATTGACTTTAGTTTCAAATGATGTTCCCTTAAATGCTTGTTCTTGTTTTCATTAAATATGCTGTCCAGACCATCTATGTTGTAGTAACTGGAAATATTTTTTTAGGTTTCTATCAAACATCCTCTTTCTCTTCTGTTCTTGTGGCTCATTAAATTAAGGGTTTGAATTTAATTATTGTTTTAAATCTTTCACTGTTTCCATTTTTTTTAATGTTTTCTCTTCATGGTTTACGATGTGTTGTGTCAATAGCTTTGCCATAAATTCAACAGGTACTGTCCCTCGGGCAGCAACCCTATCCTGGGCGCACGAACCGACAAGTATTGGGGTACGTGCGAGCGGGGGGCACACCCGATCGACCGCCTAACTGCCCGCCAGCATTGTGAGTACACAACTACCCACATTCAGCAGGGTGCATTTTTACCGATGATTGTTTATTAATAACAAAATAATGTTGTTTTCTTTGTGTTATTGAAGTATGGACTCCCAATTTATTGTCTTTTAAGGGAGGCATATGTCCAGCAGACAACAAAGGGTTGAAACGAATTTATTATATCTTTATATTTTATACACATATTCAAAATAATCTAGACGAATGATAGCAAAGCAAAAATGCTGGAGGACATTTAATTTATTTGCCCATATAAGACTATATTACTAGATATTATTTTTTGGATAATATGTACGTTACTAACACAAGACCACTGAAAGCCTGTATACAAGTATTAATATTAATGCAGGTACGAGTTACTACAGAAATGTTGGAGTTACGCAGCGGAGGCGAGGCCGTCGTTCCGGCAATGTCTGCGAATAGTAACGACCCTGCGGGATGCGACGCCACCAGATCCCCTACCCGTATCCCCACCAGAAACGAATCACCATTATCTCACATTGCTTGGAGACGGTACGCAGAACCTTCTTAATATACGAGTAAAATTATTGTTGCTTTCGTCCCGATATACATAATTACCAATTGCACAGAACTGAAATATGTCAAATGCAGAATAAATTTTGATAGTTCACGCTATTGTTTGGTTCGAAAAATATCATACACTATTTATCGTTACCATGAGGGAAGTGCCTTTTAAACGATAATAAAATACAATTTATCTTATATACTATAACTATCTTAATATTGATAAAAATTCCGTTACATTTGAATATGACCCGGCTATAGTATCAATTAAATCATTAATATGAAAGAGTTACAAACGATTACACACTAGCACATCCCTATTGTCATATTGTTTGATTACTATAGGTACTCTAAAACTAACTACTAAATAATTGCATCGGTTGGTACCTAACTTAAAAGGGACTAATGTATGTGAAAACTCTTTGGCACATCTGTGAGGGCTCTGCTCTGGCTCTCGGTTGTCTTTGTGCTCTATTATATATTTTATGATTTATACATATATACTTACGCTGAATGTTTAATCGCTTGCTTTCCAAAATTTTATAAAACGAACTCGGTAATCTGTTCTGATGATAATATGAAGCATGCGCATGTTCAGATGCAGTCGACAACCGTACCTACCTGTTCGACGAGAATGACAACGCCTTCTTGGGTATGTTCCGCTTTTAATCATTCACAAGCATGTATCATTTCTAATATCTTCCATTAAAAGGCACTTATAACCTGTTTGAATTAATGTGGAACTAACTGCTTAATATAATACACTTACTAAGACACAGTTAAATGTATAAGCAACTTAATGATTTCTACGAACCAAAAGATTCAGAGCAGTACGAATTGATTTATTTTCAATACTTGATTTTGCCTTCAGAACAGTGATGTACTAGCCACGATACTGATAATCCATAAATTCGGTATTTACAGATGAAGATCTACCAGAACAGCAAATGGAGCCATCTCATTTGCTTCCGCAGCGTGCTCCCAAGTACCTAGAGCTGATGTACGATAGCGACTCGCCGTCGGGGACCATTTGCGATGGCTACGAGGTGCCCAGATCGCCGCTCTCGTACGCTCCCTTTTCCAGGCATAGTATAGTAGGTGTCGCGCCCAATAGACTAATAAAGCCTCCTTTATATAGAACTCACTCGTTGAGAACTAACATGAGGCCCGTCAATGCGACAATCATTCCTCTCAGAAACGGCCTAGTCAAACGAGCGTCACTCTGCGACGGAGTTCAAAGTACATTCCTTAGAGAGCCGACGCCTAGCTCGTCCCGCTCCCGCCAAGACTTCGACAAACATATAAAGACTCCATTCTAAACTGTGATATTTAGGCAATTATACCGAATAATCCACCGAACTATTCGTTTAGTGATTAAATTATTTATTTCAAGATTTGTAAATAGTGTCTCGTTGTAAATATTAGTGTACCAAGTGGGGTTTTGTTAGTACAAAGTGAAAGATGTAATATAATTATGCATTTATTTGTAAACTACTTATTAAGATAGTTATGTTTCTATGATTAATAAATATTTAAAAACAAACTCTTTCTTTCCTAAACCAACGTTTTGAGGAAACCACACTTACCGACTAATTTTTTTTTTTTGTGTTTTTCCACATGTTGATAACTATAACTATATTATTCATCACCGTGTACAACTTTTACGTTTATGTTTTATAATAAACCCATATACCGTGCGCTTTGGCGGACTTTTGGTTGATAGCAAGTATTTCCAGTAATCAACGGGGTTGACCGACTAAAAAGAATAGATTTTTTTCTGCTACATGTTGGACTTCTTCTAGAAAATGTGGACATAATGGTAGATATATCGAAATTCCGCCCTGGTCCAGAACTATGAACACAGATGAAAGAGCCATGAAGGTTAATCGCGTTTCGTTTTTATTTGATGTTGTATGGCTGTGGTATTTGACTTACCATCAAGTGATCCCAACGCTAGACTGTCCTCCGGAGGAGGATCATCAAAAAATCTATCTCTATCTCTCATTAAAAAAAACTAAGTTGAATATTACCCCACACGATTTCTATTCCGCAGTAAAACAAATGCAATATATAATATGGATATATACTTTTATTTAAATCAGCAAAAAACATATTCTATTGGAAGCTAAGAGTTAAGTCCTGAGTACATTTTGTACAAATTGAGAGAAATTATAATAAACAATAAGTGTACTTATTGAATTGGTCAAAATATATATCTCTACACCCTTAAGACTAGTATTGGATTAATACGAAGATAACTAATTATGTCCTAAATAATATTCTAGCGAAGAAAATAACCAGAGCTGTTTTGTGTCTGGCTAGAAATGAAAAAAGAAAACATAATTGTTTTAAGATAAAAAACAAATAAGCCTTTCTAATTGAATTCAGAATATTCAACATTCATGGTAAGAAAGCGCTTATCTAATTATCCGTCGGCAGCCAGCTCCTCCTTGGCTCTCTTCTCCCGTTTGATAAGGTCTGTAGTGACCGGCGCATCTTGGTCATCATCCTGCGCGTCGTCCTTGCTGTTCTCATGCAGCAGCACGTATTCGCGCTGCGAGAAACCGAACTTGACCACGTCACGCTCTAAAAGCTCCACGTAGCGACGGCTCTCGATCTTCTTGTTATTAACGAATGTGCCATTCGCTGATTCTGAAATGTTTGTGGGAATCGCATTATTTCGTATATTCCTAAATTCATGCATAGATATCCTGATAATAATTATTTAATTTAACAGTTTAATGTCCGGGCGCATTGTGGTTACCGCGGTCGTTTTTATGACTAAACTATACAGATATGTACGTATCTGTAAAAAAAATATTTATTTTCGTATTTATCAGATCAAAGAATTGTTTAAGGAAAACTATTATAATTAAGAAAAATATTGACAGTAATTTACACTACTAGTTTAAAGATAAAACATAATACACACTTTTTTTATTTATATTTCGCGTTGTAAACAATGAACAGTGTATATTTTTTAAAATGAAACGATTTTAAATTGCAGCATAATTCAATTAATTATTTTAAATAGGAACCAACCCATCGGGTCACAAGCTCGTACTTAGCGACGTATTACTTGATTTTTAAAAGCTTTGATCATCACATGTCAAAGTTAACATAAAATACAATTTGTTAAATATACAATATTCAACAATTACAACATACCCAGATCTATAATATACGGCCTGACCCGTCTTCCGGTCGAACCATCTTGTCGTGTGAAGGGCGTGGCGCGATACTGCAGGGCAGCGTGTTGCTTGCTGATGGAAGGATGCTCTAACGGGATGTCGCACACTTTCTTGTCACGGCCTATCAGGAACGCCGATAGCCGGTGTATATACAGAATTGGTAATGCTTTGTCTCCTTTGAACGGATAGAACCTGTAATTCAAATTCAAACCATTTATATCACAGCACACACAGTATAACAAATTGTACTTAACCTTAATAACTGCAAAAACTTTGCTTAAGTAAATACAAAAAGAGGAAAACAGAAGAACTACTTATAAAAGTGTTTGTAAAATGAAAGAAAGCACTCGACATGAGCATCACCATCAAAGAGTAGATAAGCGGCGGTTTTCAGTGACCAAAGCAGGAGTAAGGAGGACTATGAACTACGGAACCCCGTACGCCGGGAGTAAGGAGTGACTATCAACTACAAAGCTCCTAAGAAAATACACAAGTACTTAATTCTTGTGTAGGCGTAAGCTGCCTTAACTAGAAAAATTTACTAGTATAACTTTGAACAATTTAAAACACGATATATGTTAGTTAAGCTTATTTAAAAATTGACACGCCGTGGTCACGGCGAGACGGCTGCTGCAAAGCATCCGAAACGTCGGGCCGTAGTTAAATAATTCGCATATTTTAAATAAAATATATATTGCGTTTTAATCGTTAGTGTTTTATTTAAATGTACGCGTATCAGGCGAAGTGGTTACGCGAAACGCGTAAACTACAGATAGTATTCAAGGATTGTTAACTAGCAAAAAAAGACATGAGACAAGCCAATAGATAATTATTCTCACCTCCACCGGCGTTTCGGTTGCTTAGCATCATCTGGCTCAGTATACTTGATAACTACGCCATTAACAGTGTTGGTATCTGCGGTCAGTTTGCCAGACAGTCCAAAATTGGGCTTTTCTTTGTCTCCAGGTTTGTTCGCTTCGCTCTTAACATCCACTTTGCCCCAACTGTAATCCTTTTTGTCTTCGCCCGCGTCCGTAAACCTGATAAGGATTCGACGTGATCGTTAGTTAAAATAGTTGCAATGCAATGTACGGCTAATATTCAATGGAGCTTCGGTTCGATCTCTACCGGTCCAACGAGTTTCAATTTTTTCTGAAACATGTGGAACTTCGGAAATCTGAATACTAAATGGGTGGTGAGAATATCGAAATTCCGTCAGCGTAATGAACCACCTTCACAGATGACAAATCCTAGAGTTTAATCACGTCTACTTTCGGTTCAGTCTGAGGATTTCCGTATTTGCCTAGCCAAAATAAGTTGTCTGTTCTTCCCATTCAGTCCTATCCCGTTAGCTACTAGTGACTAATTGTTTTATTACTGACCTAGTCTTTCTGTCTCTCGGTCTATTATCCATTCGCCCACGAGCCTCGCCTGAAGGCGGTCGCTCGCCGCTTCTCTCGCGACGGCGATCCTCGCGGCCTCTGTGAGTGCCTTGTCTCTCTTCCTTAATCTCCACTCTTCTCTTTTCTTTGCGAACTTCGGGACTTCTTGAAAATTCCCTGCTTCAAACATGAATGTTTTTTTGGTATATGCAAAATGCAGCAATAACATATACTTATATTAATAGTTTAGTATAGTTAGTTCTTGGACTACCCAGATTTCATGGTCAATGAAGCTGCTGTGGTGTAAAATAACAAGTGTGATGTAGTGCATGCAGAAATTTCAGTATAAAATTCCTATAATTCATTTACCTCTGCTCTGGTACAATTCTTTCTGGTCGTCGTTCGCGTCGCACCTCCCGGCTCCTGTCAAGGTTTAGTATTAAATTACATTTAATTAACTTTTAATTTGGCTTTTTAAGTGCTTCATAAAACTGGTTGTGGGCAAGACATTAGGCTTTATACGATGAATAACAACGTAACGAGGAAAGTGGCAATTTTAACCTGTTAGCTTATTGAAAAATTCAAGTTTTGAATATAAGATAGAAGATTAAAATAATTCTAAAATAAAAATATCTTAAAACGGTAAATATAACATAGCAGAAGCTTGTTTTACACATGTATTTGCTGAATAATAAACATAGGTCTGTTCAAGAACACACCACTAATCTGTTGCTGACATTGTCTTAAAATTACAAATATTAGTCTTCCCTGCAACACATTACTTTCTTTTAGTGGATAATCATAACAAAGTAACATTTGCTAACTGATAACGCTACTATATGTGAAGTTTAAAGTATGGACTCGAAGACATTCAACAAACATTTTTAATGTAATGGCGAGTGTAATTTCCGTTACTGTCCATTCTTTTAAGTACGTAAACCATAAGTTTTAATCCTAGATCATAACACAATACATTTAGCGGTAACAACAAATCTTCACGCGAGGTACTTTGACACTCCACACTTACCATTAATAAGAATTCAAAAAACGATGATGGGGTTCGTTCATACCTTCAACTTTAATCCTTTCATGGATTTAGTCGTAAATACGAAGTTTCAACTTTTCAATTAGGTGTAATAAGATAATCGAATTGTTTACTTGGTACAATACAAGACTCTTTTCAGCAATAGCATTCAACATATTGAATTTCGGAGCTATTTCAAGTGATACCAAACTGTATTCAATAATTTCTTACATTACCTCTATCTATCTGGATCTTTTTTTGTATCTTTGCGTGTTTATCATGCAATGTACAAAATATTTTTTTTTTTGGTGTTTTTGTTTACTTTGAAGATTTTCCTTTTTTTATTATTATCGAAATTGTAGGTTACTTTGTTTTGCTTGTCAAGCAGTTTTCTTTCTTCTTTTTTATTACTTGTTACATATGACATACATCACATAATACAATACAATATAATACATTCTGGTTGTGTTTTCAGTAGTCAAAATGTAATAACACATAACAGGTATGCAGAAGTTGGTAGTTTAAGTCGCTATTCTTAGTCTGATCGCTCCAAATACAAATTTAAAATGGATTCTGTCAATTCCTTTCAATTGTTTGTTCTATAATTTCTGGTAATTTCTTAGTATTCCTTTTTTGTTTGAACATAAAATTATGTCTTCTGAACCCTGTATTTTTCCTTCTTGGTAACAAACAAAAAAAACATATATATATAAATATATTCAAAATAAACAACACCAGATCCCAGATCATTCTCATCATCATCACTTGCCAATCATAGGAAGCATTTCTGCAAATTGTTGCAATACCCAAGTTTGAAATTCCATTTGGTTCCATTCTGTTTTGGGTATGTGTGAATATTTTCTTGTAGGGCATATCTAAAAACAATATTTCACACTCGCCTAGAGCTATTACTTAATGTGAAAATTTTAAAATATCTTTGTAATAGTAATACACTCTGACTGCGTTCAAAACTATTTTCTGTAGAGATGTCACTGTAAAAACAAATACAGTTTGTTTAACGTCGCGAAACAGACAACACATTTTGCGTCTCATGCGAAACATTTAACAGGAATTGAATATTTAATGCTTAAAATGATCTCGTTTATAAATCAATGATGTGCTAATTACAGGGTTTTAGATATAATATAGATGGTTTGTTAAACACTTACCTTTCTATTGTAGGATTGTCTTCAACAAATCTTTCATGTCTGTCTGGATATTCCCTTTCTCTGAAAACTTCCTCTTCAGGAGGACCACGCCTGTAAGAAATATAGATTAAACCTATTTTATTATTTTACAAACAGAAACGTCTCCCAATTAAGAAATACATTACGCTTTAATTAGTATTAGTGTTCTTGAATGTAGCTAACAAAGTGACTAGTGTAAATTATTATGGTTTTAATTACAAAAAAATTACACACCTAGGATGATACTCCCTTTCATTGACAAATTCCTTCCTCCTTGGCCCTCTTTCTGCATACTGCATGTATTTATGGCCTGTAAAAGGTATATATGATTGTGTTTTAAAAATTAAATACCTATGCTATAATATTTTCTAAATTTTTAATGGATTAATTTTATAAACTACCTCTTGTCTCTTCTCTGGGAAATGGTTCAGGTCTCCTCTTATGATAATAATTATCCACTGGTCTCTGTTCATTAAAATGTGGGTTCCTGAAATATATATTTATAGTTAAATCTTTTGAATGAATAAAAATTTAACTTAAAAAATAAATATTAAATAAGGTTTATGACTTTCAATTTTCAATGCACACCTTTTGTACTGATCATATTCCCTTGGCTTCTGGTCATATTCTTGATTTTGACTATTCTGGCCATACTTTTCTCTGTTTCTATCTTGCTGAGGAGGATATCTGTAAATATTAATATTTTATAATGTCAATTTCTACATTTTAATAATCATTTTATAAAAGTATTTAGCTCACTGTTCTAGATTATATTATACTAGCTGGTGCCCGCGACTTCGTCTACGTAGGATTATGATTAGGATCATCGTAGTATCGCGCATTTAAACTAAATGATGTCTATCATATCATACATTACATAATTATGTGTAACTAATGTTTATTGCAGCACACGCCAGAATAGCTCGCCGCAAGGTAGGTTTTTTCCTAGTTACTTGACAGTTAATGTGATATATTGGACAGCTCACACAATATCTTTGTAATTTGTAACCTATGTGTTATTCTGATGTATAAGCTATATTATTGGAGTTTAATTGAAATCCATTCAGGAGTTTTTGCGTGAAAGAGTAACAAAATTCCATCCACACATACAAACTTTCAAATTTATAATATTAGTAGGGTAACAAAGGTATATTGTGTCATTCCAACAGAGCATGTAAAGGAATTACTAAAACCTCTCTACCTTATGCCCCACAAGGTACAAACACATACATTGGTAAAATAATAACCTTTCCCGTCGCTGAGGATCACCATAATAGTTTTCTTGATAATGGTTTCTACGATCTTTACTGGAGCCTCTATAAAAACGTTCTACCTCTGCTTCTCTACTATCAAACTCATTTGTAGCCGAGTGCTGATATTCTTTTCTGTTGGAAAATTTTTATTTGTACAATAATAAGGTTCTATAGGTGTGGCCAATTAAAATTTCTCTTTGTAATTGCATATTTACATAATTTAATTAGGTACTAAATGTAAACAACAACATAAGACCTTATTAAATGCTTTGGCGTAATGGTTACTTACTGGTAATATGTTCTTGAAGGATGATCTTCTGGATCTACTTGTCGCTCTTTAACTACACTGTGGAGACGACGCTCAATATGTTTTTCTCCTATAGGTGTTGGGAATTATTGAAAATATATTAGTAACAAATAAAATGACATGTGTTTATATCTTTTCTGATATAATACTTGAACTTAATCTATAACTAACTACATTTACACAAAACATGTTTTGTTAACTTAATATGTTGTCACTTTAGAAACATAGCTCTCCTGAACTTTACAATGCTTAAATTATTTTGATATACTGCCTACCTTCACTTTCAAAAGATTGTTGCACTCGTTTGGAATGCTTATGTTTGTGTTTTCGTTTCTTTTTCACAGATATTTCGCCCTCACTTATGGAAACATGGCCATCGGAATCTTCATCAGAATCAGTACGGCGTTTCTTTTTACCGTGCTTCTTCTTCTTCTTTTTATGCTTTCGTTTCTTTGCCCGTTTTTGGTCATCCGAATCGCTTTCAGAATTTGAAGAGTCATGTCTTTTTCTTTTCTTTTTGTGCCGGTGGTCCGACACAGACGAAACATCGCTTTCACTGTCGGACGAACTGCTTGATTTTTCACTTTCATCCGAATCTAAAGAATCTTCCGAGGAATCCTGATGACGTCGCTTTGATTTCATGTTTGCACAGTGTTGTAGATAGGCAATCACAACACAAACGAAATAAACTCAAATAATTATACGGCGATACAGAGAAATAAGATCCGATGTTCTACAACTATAGATATAGATTAAGTAACTACAAACTACTTTAAGCTTTAATATGGAAAAATTTCTGCAAAATTCGTCAGGCTAACTCTATTGTTAACCTTAAATTTTTAACTTAATAAAACAAGCTATTGCAGATGAACAACAATGGCGATTGGCGACTGAAGTTAATTAGTGTTGTAGAGACAATCAGAAATGTAGTGCGCCAGGCACATTCTAATAATCGATTCGCCCAGTTAGAACCGAGTATAATTTATAATCGAAATCCATTGATAATTTGTTCGAATGTCAACTACACTGTCAAATACAATAATACAACTAGCGTACTACTCTCATTATTTATATATTTTTTTGTATTCCTTTTCATTTTCATGGTATTTTTCTTGTAAATAATAAGTATTCAAATGACATTTTGAGATAAATACATTATAAAATTTGGTTTTTATGTTTGTCTACTAATCTGACAACTATGTCAAAAACAACATTTCTAAACTGTGAATTTGAAAATATGTTTATTCCACTGGATTTATGAACGTTTTAGTAAAAAAAAATAGCTTAAAGTAATGTATACATACGCGAATTTCAGCTTTAAATTGTTAATGCTGAAGTATATTTTTTATTATTATAAATCATTATGTGAGTTTATAATCTATGATTGCCTGTTTACCACTTTTGCCAGTAACAAAAAATTTAACTATACACAAAAGTGGTGTCATAGCGTAATTCGTAAACAAGATTTAAAAGGTTATTTTGATACCTGACAGTCCTTTTGTAGAATTATTTTAAAAAATCTTAAATATCCTTGCCTTTACTGCCAAATGGCTACGAGAAAAAGGAGTGGCTCAGGGTCTAAAAGACACCTAAAAGAAAAAGTTGTTCAGATCTACGAATCATTCTTCCGAGGAGAAGACTTGACTAGTGATAATCCAACATTCTGGGATGAATTCTTTCTCCTCAAACCCAAAATTCCTCAATTGGAAGCCGAAATACAAAAATTGACACCAGATCAATTAACAAATATGGAAGATAACATTAATTTACTTGTTATTCAATGTATTGAAATGTTAGGACAAGAACACCACATAAGGTAGGTTTTTACTGTATTTACAGTAATAACATAAGCGGTATCTGCTTATTTTAAAGGGTATATTAGTTAAAAGGATATTATTATTATTATAAGGGTTTTCTATTATTTACAATGTTGTTTGTTGCAATAAATTCCTATTGAAGTTGAAATTCCATGAAGTTATAATTTTATTGTTACAGATTAGTTTATGCACTCCAGACATTTAGTGCATTATTGACCACAATGTATCAAAGAGTTGCACAAGACCCTAGCATCAATATTAAAACAATCCTTTTAGGCACTGAGAATCCAAATAGCAAAATGCAGAAATTATTGGAACACTGTAATTCAGTTATGTCAGGTAACCAATTTTTTTTTAAATTTAGCCCAATGACAAATCCATCTACTTTTACACAGAACCCTAATTCCTCTTTTGCTGTCTGTGAAATATCCCTTGTCTGACTTGTACTATGGGAGTTATGCTGTTGTTACATTGCCATTGTTTATATTGTATCTAGTTTTTACTGTTCATTTACATATTATACTTGTTACATATTTTTTAATGTTGTTCCAGGTGATGTTCCAGACAGCTTAAAGTCAATGGTTCTCAAACTTCTATTAATTATAGCTACTGGAATTGATAACATTGATGACAATCCACTTGTTGAATACTTAATGATGCATTCATTATTTGAACCATTAATACACCTCTTGTGCACCTCTACTGAGAGACAGCAACATGGTATGTTATAGTGTTGTTTGTGACAAATTTGGTTATGACTATTTTTTAATATCTATTTTCACATATACATAGCTAAGCTTTATAAATTCATAATTTATTACTATAATAGTTAATTTGAAATCTCTTTTTCTTAACTATTTTTGTGCATCAACTTTAATACTCATCAATTCACATAATGATAAGGGTTTGGAGGCCCCAGGGAAACAAAGAATTCTTTCAAGTAAAATAGAAAAGGTAAATAGGGCACAAAAAAATATCTGTCCCTACACATACAAGGATACTTAGAATGGGTGTATCTCTAATATCAAATATTTTTCACAGGATATGATGTGGTACTTCTTCTGATGTTCCTTGTAAACTATAAGAAACATGAGGCAGCCAATCCATATGTAGTGAAACTATCCATACTAGATGATGAACTTGCGCTCAATGGGTAATGTTTAATATTGAATTAAACTACAGTCAATTATCTATTCCTAGCCACCATCTTGCCTGTCACCAAAAATTGATCACTCATGCAGCCATGCATAGAGACATAGAAAATGAGACTTCACTTTTAATACTAATATCATTTACTTTTAGGTATGGCCAAGTTATAACAGCAGCATTGAACGATTATGTTATGACCACATTTGGTGGTATGCAAAATAATACGGGGGGCTGGTTAAGTTCACTTACTAGTATGGTTGGGGGAATATTTTTAACAAATGATGAAACACAGCCAGTATTTCGAGGACAGAGAAGTAGGTAAGTTTATTAAAGAAGCATTGTACTTTTGACTTTTGAATAAGAAACAGTTTAAGGTGTTAATAGTAATAACATAAATTACATTTCTAAAAGGCTAGACATCTACTGAGTTAAGTCAGAAGAAAAACAGGAAATAGTTAATCACAATTAAACCTAAAAAGTGTTTTTTGGTCATTATTTCTCGGATTTATCTCTTGGATTAGATAAATGTTGGCAGATTAAGGCGATTACTATATTATGATACTAGGTATTTGGTTTAAAGATATAGTCCACACCCCAAGATAAAAATCATATCTGTTTAATACTGGATCCCTTACTTAAAGTGGCGGTGAAGAGGGTATGTTGATGGCGCTATATGAGGCAGCACATCTCAACAGAAACTTTATGACAACTTTGGCCCACTCTTCCGCTACTGCATCAGCTCCGCCTTCACCTCCCGCCACCTTACCGCCGCACCAGGTATGAAAATCATACTTGCTGTTACGTTTTAAAAAGTGAATTTGAACGCGAAATATATTAGGCAACTTATTTCTAATTCAGAGTACATGCGTATATGTACTCTGTATGCGTACTAGTCGCTTGTAAACTACAGCCAATACTTAGGATTATTAATTTTAAGAATTAGTTTTTTCGTGATCCCTTTAACATATCGATGTTAAAATAGTACCTTTTTATTTTTTATTTTGAGCTCACCTTTGTCATAAAGTGACACTAACTTTAAAATAAATAAACAGTTTTATTTTACAGCAGTTTTATTTTTCAGAGCCCACCAAACTTAGCCCAGATTCAAGCTTTAATTGATAATGAACAGCCAACTAACCTTCTAGTCACTTTCTTTCAATATTGGTAAGTTAGTCACTTAACCATTAAACACTATCTTTTTATCCTTAAGGCATGTACTACATACTTATATATTGATTGGAGCTAACATTACTTCTTTATGTGCCAGCAAATATATATATCATGTGATATATTAAAAGATCTTGTGAAATTCTCTTATTTTCCAGTTCAATAGTAATGGCTGACACTCGGACGGAAGCCAGCATTAATAAGTGCAACCTGTGTTTTATTACCCTTACCTGTATAGTAGAAGAGCAGTTTGCCAACTCTATTATGCACGACCAAAACTTGACATTCAAAGTAATTATTGTTTTCTTATTTAATTTAATATTCAAATATTAAATTTATTCTATTTTTATAACAATAAAAAATTATAATAATTGATTATTCTCACTTTACTCAGGTACAGCTTTATAGGCTCCCTATGCGCCATAGGAAGATAGTTCCTGAAGAGCCACCATCGCAACCGTTAGCATCTACACTAATCGGTAAGTTATGTACATATTTTTTACTAGCTGTGCCCGCGACTTCGTCCGCGTGGAATAGTGAATTGGGGTAAATTTTTTAATTATTTCATTTATGTAAGGGTGCATTCGAGGCAGCCAATCTATATTGTAGGTACAGCTTTGCCGCAACACTCTCACCTAACATCACTCCTTCTCTAACTCCCACTCTCATTCCTTCACTCATTGCCACTCCCACTTCTATTCCCACTCAAAAAGCGAATGAAGAAAGTTTCAGTTTTTTTGTGTAAAAAGACCACAAATTTCCATACAAAATTTCATCCCCTTTTTCAACCCCTATCAACCCTGTTTTGGCATTAAAAAGGGTTAATAGTAGCCTATGTCCTTTCTCAGGCTCTAAAATATCTGTGTACCAAATTTCATTTAAATCAATTCAGTAGTTTCGGAGTTAAAGCCGGACAGGCAGACAGACAGACAGAGTTACTTTCGTATTTATAATATTAGTATAGATTATGTACCTGTGCCCGCGTGTGGGAGTTTTTTGGGCATCATATTATTTATTTTTGCAAACAACCTCCTTAACATTATAAATTATTTATGTTACCCACGATGTTATCCGCATCCCGTCGTTATAGCGAATTACTCTTAAAAGGAAAACATACTCTGTTATTAGATCATTTAAAGGAGAATCATTCTTTTTTTTCATATTTTTTTATTGTAATGGACGCCTTGAAAGATAAGTTGCCTATTTTTCCCACTCGTAGCTCCTGGGATTAGAGCCTTCCAACAATCAAACTCTAGCTTTATAATATTTATTATGTTGTTTGTGTCTCTTTCACACTAACCGCTTGACTGATAATGTACATCTGCAACTTGTTTTCAGATTTATTAGTGGAATTTATGATGTGTCACCTCCTAAAGAAATTTCCTGGTGAGTTGTACGAAGTGTGCGTCGGTGTACTGCAGCGCGTACTCAGCTACCAGAAGCGGTGTCGAGTGCGCCTTTCGCGTGACTGGAGACCACTGTGGGCCGCCCTAATAGCTCTTCTTAAGTTCCTCGCCACGAATGAAACCGTGCTACTGAGGAGACACAATATCTTCTCGATGGCTCAACAGGTAAGGTATATTTGGAAGTCATTTTCTTTTCCTAATTGCATTACAAACCAATTAATGTTAAAAATCAACAAGAAGAACATTTTTAGAAATTCATATTTACAAAACTTAAATATGTAGGTATACAAACATGTAACATTAATAGAAATATAATGTACTAGCTGGTGCCCGCGACTTCGTCTACGCAGGATTAGGATTACGTAGTATCGCGCATTTTGGACAGCTTACACAATATCTTTCAAATTGTAGGTTATGTGTTATTCTGATGTATAAGCTATATTATTGGAAAGTTTAATTGAAATCCATTCAGTAGTTTTTGCGTGAAAGATTAACAAACATTCACACATACAAACTTTCACGTTCATAATATTAGTAGGATTACATAACTCAAATTGTAGCCGCAAACCTTCGCTCATCGCTCTTACATTATATATGCTCTCTATGTTTGGATGCATAATTTTACAGGTCGTGAATATTTTTAACCTGTTCATAACATTCGGTGATACATTCCTGCCTACGCCAGCGTCCTATGACCAATTGTACTACGAACTCATCAGGATGACACAAGTCTTCGATAACCTCTTTTTCATGGGTAAGCATATGCCACATAGGGTCGTTCATTTTTAAAATTTGAGGGCGATGATAAAAAATATGTTCCAGCACTTATTTCTTTGTCGAAATTTGTAATAATATTTCGTGCCGCGACTTATACAAATGTTATCTTAAAATGAAAGTATAATGGAAAGTAAAAATATATTATTACTAGTTATGGAGCGCAATGGCCGGCCTTACCTCTATTGAGATCTCTTCTAGGTAACCCTTGTTTTTTTTTTAATATCTTTGAAAATTGTATGTAGTAAATCTCGTCCGGTTTAATGTAAATAAATTAAGCAAATTTTGGATTAATATTATTCTTTTTTTATTTTAATAGTCTAGAAATAGCTGTGTATCCTATTTTTTACAAAAAACAATAAAAAAAACTTACCATCGAACGAATTAACGGTAATGACTTTTCGTTTGATTAGTGTTAGTTTACTTATTTTAAAGGAAAATGGACGCGAACTGGCGAAATTACACTATTCAGTATAGGTTACAAAACGACTGGTAGTGGTGCCTGTTGTTTATGGTCTTGCGGAAGACTGAACACAAGTCACACTTATACTATAAGTAGTAATAAATGTTTCGATATTGCGGGTTTAAGTCTCGCTGTAGTCAGTTTCTTCTATATCTTTAGGTCCTTCATCTTTCAATAATACCTAAGTTATAGAGTTTTTTTTTTTGAGAAAATCTGATAAGACAACAGAATTGCTACATTTTCTTCTTTTATTATGCTATATATATTTTTGTAGCATTACGGTACTCTACGGGAGATGGTGAATTTAAGGCGGAAGCTCTCCGATTGGCCAACTGTTTGGTCAACGTACGCGCTATTACGCTCCACTTTTCACCTAAGATCGACGCTTGGCTTGCATCACAAAATCTGTCTACGCCTACTGAGGACCAGGTAATTACAATATGTGCGGTGTAGTCTTTTGTCCTCTGCAAGGCATAAGTCAGATCGGGATATATTCGAGGCAGGTTCAGCTTTAGATTTCTTTGGTTCCTTCAAATCGTTTTTCCTTTTTAGATTCTTGAAGTAGTGAGGAAGAACTACGATAGTCTCATATTGAAATTGCAAGAAGGCTTGGAATCCTATGAGCGTTATTCGGAGAAGAGCTACCGAGCGTTGCTATCAAAACTGGTAAAGGGTGCCGCAGCTTTTGCGCGGCAACGAAGCGACGCTGCGGCTTTGGGTCACCATTCTGCGGCACTTATATCGCACTACACCACGCTTCCAGTGCCTACAATATGTTAGTCAGTAGTTTTTAAGCGTTTAAAAATCAGTAAGCGGTTGTATATAACACACACAGTTTTGTGATTGGAGAATTGAAATTGATCTATTAATACAAGACACGTTTTCTTTCTTAATGAATTTGATATTACATTTTGTAAGGCCATTGTTGTATTTGTTCAGGTACTTAATACTTTATCTGAACTACTGGCGGTATTGCATGTAGCAAAACATAAGTACTCGCAACATCTGTTGCTCATTCCTTCCGTAGATTTTATACCAGTGATTTCTTGGAAATCAAACGAGCGAGTATCACTCCAAACATAAAATTTTAAAATTAAATTAAAATAAGTCGACCATCGAATAAAAGAAATGTCTTGTACCTCTGTTATCAGACACTATTCAGACCACTTATCCATATTGAATATTACTAAAAATAATTAATTTTAGTCTTATCAAATAATACTTATGATTATGTAAATAAAAGTTTATAACAACAATTGTTATAGTTATTTAATTAGGAGTAGGTATTTTAAAAGCTTATATTGTAACAAATGAATATTAGAGCTTGAGATATATCAAATCAGGTACTATATCCAAAAATATATACATATAATATTAATACATTTAGGTATGTGCTTATAACAGTTTTGAAGATATTCTATGTATATATTGTATAAAAACTATAAAATCGTTTATTTTGTTAAGATAAATAAAAGACTGAAAAATATTCTGAAAGTTTTATTATTACACATAAATAAGTTGGTTAAGCATGGTAAAATAACAGACAAATTCAAAATGACTAGATTTTAAATTAAACTACAAAGACGTAAAACTTAACTGTAAAATAATCATTTGTAAATCTTTGGTATTATTATGGAATGACTTGGTTATAATTCATAACATTAACAACAATTTAAATAAAATTGTGTGCTTTTCCTTAAACTAACCTAAAGTATGTATATCGATCTCACTAAACATTTATAAAGGTCATGGTTGCACTGTGGCAGTTGCATAATAAGGAGATTTAAGAATTTTCCTAGAGCTAGATTTTCCTAGCTCATTTGGGTTAAATTCTCAATCTATTTTTTTAAGTCGATTTTAATTCTGCAAGAGCCTCTCTTACCAATTGCTGAAGATCCTCGGGGAGGACAATTTTAGATAAATTCTTCTCACAAGATATATCACACTCACCATTTGTAACACCACTATTATTAGGATTAAAACTCTCCTTGATAAATTGGTCTTTTTCATTTTTTCCATATTCATCAGAGTGTACAGATGTTGAATCATTGAAGGAGTCTTCCATTAACATTTGCGAGGGAAATATTGGTATTACTTTCTGTCCATTGCACCAATTTTCCATTGTTTTCTCTAGTTCAGAAATTCTGTTAGCTAGTATCCTGCAAGAGGTTTTGTTAAAAAGTCATAAATGTAAAATATTCTTTTAATTAGGGACGAATAACAAAATTAAATTTGTAAGAAATAACAAATTATTGATATAAATCATTACATACTGATTTGTTTTCCGTTGATGTTGCAAAGCTATAGATTTGTCGTTTAATGCTTCAAATAAACCCAGGCACAGTGATTTCAGCTCTGTAACCGAGGTCCTTTTCAAACCAGTTTTTGAATTATTACTCAAGTATTCCCGAACTGAAATGTAAATATTTGGTTAATTCCAATAAATATGTTATTTTAGATGTTTTCAATGCTAAATACCTTGTTGTTGTGTCATTACATCTGCAAAGTCGTTTCTCAAATTTATCATATTATTTTTGCTTCTACTATCAAGTAGTGCCTAAAACAATCAAATGACTAAATTAATACATAATCAAACATTTCGAAGTATTTTTCTTTAACTGTAAAACATTAAGCATTGAACCTCGTAACATTTAGCTTAAGATAAAATTGCAAGGGTTAGCTGTTTGGGGAAATGGGTGAAATGGTCGACATGCAGTGTAGACTGATCACACGGCCTTCTATCTGTGTCCCCAAAAGAAAATAATAATAATATTGTTTGGGGAACAATAGTGTTATTGGTAGAGAAACAGCGTGGTTCACTATTGGATATGCATGATAAAAGAAATGTTATACCCTATATAAATAAAGTATCCTACATAATCTTATGTTATAAAAGAAAATATAAAAAAAACTTATTTTATAAGTTCATATTTTACTATAAAATATAAAATGAAATTACTTTATACTTAGTCAGTGCTCTCTTCACAATTTCTTTTTCAACTTGTAGTTGAGTAATGGTCTCATGGAGGTACTTATTTTCCATCACCAAAGCATCAATATCCAGTAATGATTTACCATTACTTTCTGCCAACTCCTTTCCTCTGTTTGTAAGCAAGAAGCTTATTTGGTGATTTAATTGTTGTACTTTGCTTTTGTAATAATTGCGATCACTCATTAGTTCCTCTTTTTCATCTAATGCTGCTCTATAATCCATTTGAACTTGTCGGTTCTGTAATTATAGAATGTAAATTAGGAAACCCTGGATTTCTGTTTCCTACTAAAAAATCAATATTATATTATACTTACCTCCTTTTGCACTCTCTCAAGCTCTTGTAGTAGATGTTCAAAATCTATAGATATGTTCTCAACGGGTGAAAAAGTTTTACCATCACTATGATCAGCAGTGCTTTTTTGCAACTGCTTCCTCAGTGCCACTATATCACCATGAGCTTCATCTAGTTTACTTTGTAGCGTTTCTACCTTTAAAACCAAAAAATGTGGTCAAAACTAGACTTAACCAGTGATTGGTATTGTACTCTGTAATCCTACCTCTAATTTTAACATAGTATTATGCTCTTTGGTTTTAGCAACAATCTCTCCGCCACTTATAGTATTTGTAGGTGCATATTTATTGGAAGATGGAATATTGTCTATGTCAACTTTTTTACATTTCATTTGTTCAACAAGCGTTTTATATTTATCACGATCCATGCAGCATTTGTCTAGTTCTCTACTCATTATCGACAGAGCATCTATTTTGCTTTGTAGTTTACTTTTAAGCACTGAATTCTAAAAAAGATGTTAGTTGTTATAGTTTATATCCTATCAGATATTAAAAGAAAAACATTGTATCATAAAAACAATAGTCTCATAAACAAAAAGCTTTACCTCTAGAACATAATCATCTATTTGTTGATCAGGAAATTGCACTTTAACGATTTTGTTTACAAACATACTGCTGATTTCTTGACGTGTGTTATCAAGTTTTAGTTAATTCATACTATTATAGAATCTATAAACAAGTATCAAGGAAGTCAAGATATCATCGACATTGGGTTTTAGAAACCCATATCATTTAAGAATATAAAGTTAAAATTCTGAAACAATCTTGAAATAATGTTTACAATTTACGGTCGACTATAGTTTTCACAGATAGTTGATATTAGTCTACAGAATACTCTGTATGATTATGCAATAATCCGTAATTTCTACAGATAATAATAAAATAATCGAGTCACAATCGTGATTAAGCAGCAGCACTAGTTTTTAAAACTGTGTTACGGTGTTTGCACAATATCATTCTGTTTCAACTATACAAATCCATATCTTCGTATTTAGATTTGCAGATGTTTTGCAAATGTAGAGATAACTTGTGTACCAACTATTTTAGAAGAAATGGTTGCCGTTGATCCATTAAGTTGTAGACGTAGTTAATAAGGTTTGGGGGTTTGTTGATTATGGCAGCCACAAGCAGCGAGATCGAAGATTTTCTGAGTGGCCCACTAGTTTCATGGGTAAGTGTTCAACGATCCGTGTATATCGAGACATGACTGAACCCTGAGATATAACTTACGAAGACCTTTTCAATTCTTTAGATTTATAACATTAAGCGTTATACGAAAGCCCAAACTAAATATAACTTAAGTGTTTGAAGGATGTTGTAAGTAATCACTGATCTATTTTTGGGTGCATACGAGATTGCTTTCATCTAACTTTAATTTTATTACAGTTTTACTCTGACTCATAAAGCATTCAAATAAAGAACCATTCATTTTTTGTGCTGGAAAAGGCTGTTTTTTTTTTTTTATTTTCCTATGATATGAATGACCAAAGGCTATTTTATTAATATATTAATAGTATAGCTGTAAGTGCTAAGCAATTAAGTAGACCATTTAAGAAGATTTAAGATACACTGCTATCTCACTGAACACAATGGTCTTGGATGTTCCCATTTTTACTTTCCCATACAATTTGATTCCCATATATAATTTCAATACACTGACTAAAAACTATACTGTCTTTGAATACAAGAACTGAAGATGCATTAAGTATTGACATGTGGTAAAATTTCACATTGTTAGTTTCCACCTTGTGCAAAAATTAGATCAGGGAAAGTAGTTTTGAGTATAAAATTTTATATCTGTCAATTATAGGTATATATGTTTTCTTTACTACAAAAATTTCAATCAAAAAATATTTCAAATGTTTATGATAAAACAAGTTCATGTAGACAACTGTCTGACATTTTTGCTTCATTATGTGTGTTAGTATCAACTAGAACTAGTTGAATAATTGCTGGTGGTATAACACATAAATAACATCAATAAGAAATGTTTTCTTTGATAAATAATTTAGTAGCTTTTTGATAGTAATATTATACTATATATTTTCAGAAAATAGTTTCAATGTAAACCACACAAAAACTAATCAACCAGACCAGTTATAAATATAAAGCTCTCTACTACTATACTCTATGAAGCTGCTAGAGGCTGAGTGGCCAATAAGAGGAAAATAAAAATGCCCAATTAACATGGGCAAAAATTTATTTGTAGTATTATTTGTGTAAGAATTATGTTAACGATTTTAGGGTCACTGTGATATTTCAGATTAATGTTTTTCAACTATAAAAATATCAACAAGTCCAGTCATAAAATCGCAATTACTCTGGCCTCTACAATCTCATCATCTCTATAAATCAAAATGACAATGCCTAATTTTGTCCAACAATAATTACTTTTTATTCAATAGCATTGTGTTGTAATGTTTATCATTTCATAAAATTTGTGCTTTATTTCAGCTAAAATCATGTCTTACAAATCCAGAAAACATTGCAGAGTATGCTGCCTTATTCAATGGAGACTTGCTCCACCAAGTTTATTTACAAATAAACCCAGAACCATCCTTCCACATAACCAAGTTAGCAGGATTAGAAGATCAAGCATTGATATTGGGCAGAGTGAAAAACTTTGATGCTATAGTAAAAAATGTGAAAAATTTGTATGATGATGAATTAGGCATGACTCTTTTGGTTGTACCAGAATGTATTTGTTTGGGCAAGGCACCAGAGTCAAGAGAGGGCTTGGAAAATATGAAACTTTTGATATTGTTATTACTAGGCGCAGCAGTCCAATGTCCTAACAAAGAATTCTTCATCACAAGAATTAAAGAGCTTGATGTTGATCTTCAGCACAATATTGTAGAATGTATTAAGCAGGTAATAATAGCATTAAGTTATATCTTACAATAATAAGAAAACTCTAGTGTCCATATAAAACTTAATGAAATTCACTAGAAATAGAAAAGCAATTTCATTCATCATTCTTATATTTTATAGATTTTCTAGTATTAATAATTTATTTTAGGTGACCGACATGCAAACGGTTGTTTTAACTCCAGATGCAATTGATCTCTTTCAATCCCCAACTATGTTTAACCATATGCGGCGGTTAGCTAAAGAGCGAGATCATTATTTGCAAAATTGGGCATCACTGGTTCTCAATGAAGGTCTTTGTGAAAATGAAAATGATAACAAGAATTGTAAAAGTAGGTCTACACAAAATGTTAATCAAACAAATGGAGATAGTCAGCATTTAGCAGTGGAATTAGCTGATTGGAAGGCAAGATTAAGAAAACAAAGGCAAGAATTGTAAGTTTTTTTCTTCTAGTTTTCAGGTTTAAATTTTTTTTATTAGAACTTTTTTAAATACTTGTCTTATTTTTGGTTTTTCTGTAAAACTGATACATGCTTTTAAGGGAAGAAAAATCAGAACAATTATCAGAGTGCAGGGAAGAATTGGAGCACACAAAACTAGTTCTTGTAAAATTAAGGGCAGACAGTCAAGAGTGGTTCAATGAAGCAAGAAAATCAGCTGGCTATAGGGATGAAGTGGATGCTTTAAGAGAAAAGGCAGAAAGATGTGACAGGTTTGTTTACAATTCATAACACTAGTAGTAGTAACCACTATTATACATATCAAAGAAGGAAAAACATGCCATTTATTTAATATTATTATACTTTTATAAATGTTTCAGACTTGAACAGGAAATTCAAAGATACAGGGATAGATTAGCTGATGCTGAGTATTACAAAACTCGGGTGACAGAGTTGCGGGAAGATAACAAGGCTCTGATGGAAACTAGAGATGCATTAGAGGAACAATTACAAAGGGCAAGAAAAAGAGCAGAACAGTGTTTGACATTAGAGGCAGCCATGATTAAACTAAAAAGAGAAGCAAATGATATTGCTTTGGTAAGTATCTCTAGCATAAACATGATATAATAAATAATAATTTATCTAAAACGATATTTAATTAAGTCTACACATATATTTTCCAGGAAAGAGATGCTGATCAACAAAAAATACAAGAATTAATAGAAGAGAACAATCATCTTCAATATATTACAAGATCTGTTTTAAATGAGAGTAACAACAGTAATTTGGATACCGATAATGAATGTGAAACCCTAGAATCGGGAGAAAACAGTTTATCAGAACAGTTAACCAGTAATGCTCAAGCCCGAGCTCTAAAGCTAGAATTGGAAAATAAACGTCTTTTATCTACAATAGATAATTTAAGAGAACAATCTATATTAGAAAGCAGTGATAAAGTACTAGATTTAGAGAAAGAAAAGAAAAGGCTTACATTAAAATGTGAGCAGTTGCAAGAAAACTGCAATAGATTGAAACAGCAAAATACAGAGTTGGAGGAAGTATTTAAAAATGCTTTAGAGGAAAATAGAAAGTTGCAAGATTCCCTGGACAAACAGAAATCGTTCATTGATAGACAATCAATTGACAGGGAATCAGAAAAGAATAAACTACAAGAATTTGAAAAACATTTGGAATCCCTCACTAAGGATAAACAAAGAATACAGATGTTATGTGATTCAATACAACGAAGGGCTGATGATTTAGAGAAAACATTAGACGCTAGGACGAAAGAACTAAACGTTCTTAAACCAGAGGCAGATAAAGTGACAAAGCTTATAATACAAACTGAAGAACTAAAAACAAAACTCACGTACTGTGAAAAAGAAACTCATAGTTTACAGAGGGAAGTCAATAAATTACGAGAAGCTGTGGAAGAAAAAGACGTAAAATTGGACACAACTACAACTGACATTGAATTAAAGAATAAAGAAATTGAAAGGCTGACTCGACAGTTAGAGAATAATCACAATATTAGTAGTCGACTTCAAGATTTGGAACAAAAAACACAAGAATTAAAGTCCCAAAAGAAAGTCGACACAGAAACAATACAGACATTACAAAAAAACCTTATATCTGAAAAAGTTAATTTTGATAAGTTAAGAAACTGTATGGAAAAGCTGGGCGTTAATACATCGGAAGTACTTGCTAAAGAGATCAGTGTCGAAGATTTATTGGAAAAGATAATATTGAATACCGATCATGAGACATTAATATCGGAAATTGCAGCAAAAGCCAACTTAACCAAATTATTGCCTTGTGAATGTGATCATAAAACTCAACAAGAAGAATCTGCAATAAACCCACAAATAGAACAGCTTACAGCAGATTTGTCTGCTTTACAAGCTTCATTGGAAAATAGTCAAGCCGAAAATGCTAAGCTGCAAGTAAATATCGCAACACTGAATTCACAAAATGGGTCTTTGTTATCACAACAGATGACTTTACAATTAGCAAATAGTCAATTAGCAGCTGAAAAAGATGAAATATCTAAGCAGTTAGAAGTAATTAAAGATAAACAAGACAATCTTTCAAGAGATCAGGTAGCTTTACAGACAATTCATGAACAATTGAGTATGGAATATGAGCTGTTACTGAGTGAAAAAGAACCTGTAAAGGCTGCCATTAAGGATTTGAGATTAGAAAATCGGGATCTGAAGGAAAAATTAGTTGCTTATGAAAAAAGGATATCAGATTTTGAATTAGAGAAAGAAAACTTCAAAATAGAATCAAGAAATTTAACAAATCTTAGGGCTGAACATTCTAAACTTAAAGAAGATTTTAGGAACTTATTTTCAGCGAGTGAACGTATGAAAAATGAATACAGACACATGCAAGAAGAATATCGCAATCTTCGAAGTGAAGTTTCCCAACTCAAGCTAAAAAATACTGAAATGTCAGGGGAAACAAATACTAAATCAGAAATCATAACAAGCATGGAAATGGAAATAAGCAAAACTAATCAGCACTGTGAAATGCTAATACAAATGAACAAAAGCTTAGACGCTGATAGACGATCATTAATGGATCATGTTTCTCAGCTCTTAACTCAATACCATGAATTACTTGCTCATTCTTTAAAAGACAAACAACATTACCATGAGGAAGAGAAAATGTTTGCTGACAAAGTCAATGCATTGTGTCGTCAAAAAGAGAAATTAGAAGAAAAAATTATGGAACATTATAAAAAGCTTGATAATTGCACTCCGAAACGTCGGGGCTTCGGAGCATCGTTTGTTAAAAAGGTTCGAAAGGCTGGTACCGACTTAATTAACAAAGTACCATCGAGAAACCATAAGAGAATCGACGATGCGAATCGGTCGAAATCGCAACTAACTTTAGCGGGGTCGGAATCCGGTGAATCCGATCCCGGCCAAGAATTAGAAAAGATGTCAAAAAATTCCGACCCTGATCAGGGATCATCTAACCCAAGTGTGGAATCACCGCGGCATAGCATCGATACAAGTTTTAATAGACGTTTAGACGATACATTTTCAAAAAAGTCTGAAAGCTTGGATATGTCGGGATCATTTCATAGTTTAGAGCCCTCTAGATTGACGAATGAAAACAATTTTGTTAGAAGGCTTTCTGCCGCGTCTATTCACAGCGGCGGGGGCGATGACGCACTGATACGAGCTTCTTTACGACGACGACCTCACAAGATAAATTCATCTCATCGCAATAGCTTTCAAGGTTTGGATGGTGACACAGGTCTTCCTGCAGGTAATAATGTAAATTTAAGTAAAACATATATAAATATTTATTAAAAGAGTTTTCTCATTAATGCGTTTTTCCAGCCTCCACACCTTCTCCAGTTTTCGGTGCCGCGGGTACTCGGCGAACAGTTTACTTAGCTGACGAAAACCCAGATGTCACTTTAAACTCTAAACCTCAAAGTACACCAATAAAAGAAAATCCCACATACCTTGTTTACAACAGAATATCGACAGTTATTGGTGATGGGGCTTGCCAGAGTAATCATGATAGATCGACCGATCAATCATTGAATGACCAATCTCGCGCTGATGAAGCCCACGACGATGTGAGATATCAAGATCGAAGAAATACGAGCCGTAATGAGAAACAAGAAAACTCCAAGGAAACTGCCATTTGGTACGAATATGGTTGCGTTTAACTAAGATTGTAAGTTAATGTGAGACTGAATTGTTGCCTTGCATTTAAAATGCAACTGTGAGATTGGATGTTATTATTACGTAGAAATAAATACTGTAAATTAGGTTTAACAATATTACATGAAATTCTCTTTAAGCTAAAAAGCAGTATTAAATAAGCATTTATTTTGTTGAACTCAAAATTTATTGGACACGTATGCTATAAACTGATTTAATATAATAATTATTTTTAGTTACATTTTAAATTATTAACAAACTTGCCCAGTCACTGTGACAAAATTTTACATTATTGCGGACCTTCTGCGAGACTTTGTCAAATAATAATTTTCAAAGTGATAGTGAACAAGTACATGACATTTGATATTCAAGTATAATGTAATTTTATTTGTATTTATTAATATTGGTCCTTTGAGAGCCGTGTTAGTTTAGTGGTGTGTGCACCGGATTGACATGTGATCCCCAGTCGGGTACCATACAAATTTTTGGGCGCAAAAGCTCTGATGAAAGAAAACATCAAGAAAAATAATTCTAGAAGGAAAAATCTACATTGTCATCTGCCAACACGCATTTGGCACCGTGGTAGATTAAGGCCTTATATCCCTAGGTACAAGAGACCCGTGTCCCAGTAATAATGTTGATGATGACGATTGGTCTACCATGTGATATTTATTTAGTTCCGTAGTAGATAAGACTTGTATAATACCAACCCTTGATATTAAATACCGAATTTAGAAGCAAGACAATCCCATAGTTAAAAAACATCAACGTAATTAATGCTTTAAATATGTTTCTTGTTTAGCACTTTTTATTGTACTTATGATATTTTTAATTAATAGCGCTAATTAAATAAGAATGATAAAAGATCATTATATTTTTTTCTTGGTAAAAGCAGGTTAATGTGAATTTTGAATAAACCGACATCCGCCTACAAGAATAATTCTATTACCTGAAATTATATTACATTCTTTACGAACATATCCATGTTAATACATTTATACTTAAATACTTTAGAATCCTTGATGCGAAGTATATGTTATATTTAACCAAGTACAAACGAAACCTAACTTACTATTAAATTGTGTTTTCTTGACAACTAATTATGCCTAGATGTCTAAATAATAATAGATATTATGTATGTACAAAATATTTTTCTTTAGTACTTAAATTTTTAGTTTAAGGTTCTCGTTTCATATTTTCCAGTTATTTTTTCTTAAAACTTATTAAATTTGTTACTGCAGTATGCAATATTCACATAAAAATCTTCTAAAACTTACAGCAGTAATTGACGTCACTTGATTAATATATTATAATATTTAGGAATAAGCACTTCCAAAGTCTTCGCAACTGTTAGCTTTAAGGATTAAACTATACAATTTATTATCTGACAATCATGAACTCTACTGCTCTCATTTTTAAATTATCTGAATACGATTTTTTTAACTCAATGTTATAAGCCCGGTTTATATTTTGAATTATTATTAAAACCTTTTGGTTCTACACTATGGTGCATGCTTTTAATCTTAAGAATGTTGTATGGGACATAATAATGAAATTTATACAGTTTTATCACCTGACAAATATTATGCAAAACGAAATTTCTCCTATTCTGTATTTATTGTCGCTCACCGAATTAATATACTAATGGCACTTTTCTATAATATAATAATACAATGAATGATCTATAGTTTTATTTGAAAATATTTATTACTGGGTTATGAAATACCTTTAACAATGTGGCTAAAGATAGTTTTATAATAGCTGTGATATTTTGTCACAATACTTGTACAGTCCTGGTCTCATGTATGTTATAACAAAAAATAGGTTTTATTAAAGCTTTAAATTTATCACATTGACACTGTTTTATAAATACATCAAGATAAAGGTCGCGTTGTGCAATAAACGCTGTTTTGAAGTAAAGGGGGGGGGGGGGTTTGCTTAGTCATGGGTACACTACTTACACAATTAATTAAATTTAATATATTACAATTGGCACTTTGGTAAGGTAAAGGTTTCAATATGTGAATCTAATGTTGTAAAAAAGCTTAATTTTGATTGAGATGGATCGCTTTAATTGATTGAAGCAAATTTAACACAAATTCACAAAAAGTTGTTAAGGTGCAAAACGGCACTGTAGGTATGGGAACTCAATAAACTTTTAAATAAATTGAGTGCTACGCATCTTGAACACCAAAGTTCTTTTACTTGCAAATAAGAGATCAATTAAGTACTTACACACTAACCCTATAAGTTGATAACTTAACTTCTAAGAAACAAATCCATTTGTATTTTGCTCTGTCATAATTTCCCACTGAAGCACAGGAGAAAGTTGTTTAGAAACTTTGAAAGGAACTCCAGAAACTACTGACTTACGCCCAACATCTGCCTTAACTGGTAGATATGAAATAATACACTGAAAAAAAATTAATACTTATTGAAAAAGATATATTAGATGTATAATTTCAAAGACTTTAAAAATTTTAAAAATAAATATTAAAAATCCTGTGTACTTCTGTATATATTAACAACATCTAAAGCTAACCTTTGGCTTTGGAACTTCTGTTGACATGTATCCAATACACATTGTCTTTGTTGTATGCCCCCATAATAGTTCACCTTCTCCGATTTGTGGATTAAAGGTTAAGCCCAATGTACCCCCTAATCTTTCAGGGACGTCCCACAAAAATGGAGATTCTAAAAAGTTTTCCTTTAAGCATTTATCTAGGCCCAAAGCTGGTGAAGATACAATTAAGCTCTCTGCTGTATTTTTAGCTAATTGTGTTCTAATCAAGTGCTCTCCACATCCTGAAGTGCATGAAGCCACTGAGGGTGTAATACCATCTCTGCTCATGAAAGCCCATACTCCACTTCCAAAGGAAGCAGCTTGTCCAACTCTACCTTCATGTTTTAGTGAAACCCCACCAGAACTAGCACCTGAAGCCACAATACCATTGGAATCAACACAGACTGCACCAACTGTGTCCAAGGGACTAAATCTTACATCATTTTGTAGTGAATATCTTTTTAGTTTTCGCTTGCAATGTTTGTAATTTCGGAATGCTCTTGCTGAAATCATTTTCTTATCATCAACAATCTCCAACCCCATTCTTTCAGCCCAAGTTCTTGCACCGTTACCTGTGAGAATACATGGTGGTACTCTACCCAATGAAAGATTGTCACATTGCTTTATACACAGCTGTTTTGCCAATGTGATAGGATTCCAAACATTTGACACAGCCCCACATGCACCAAAATGAAGAGTTTGTCCATTCATAATGGAAGCATCACATTCAACTAAGCCATCCCAGCTTAAATTTGATCCGTACCCAGCGTTTGTTAGAGCACTATTTTCTAATTCTGGAAGCGATTGAAGGTACGTAGATTTATAGTTACACAACATAAAAAAATAATTCATTTTTTTTATACGAACCGACTATAGCTTTTTCTACAGCGTCAACAGCATTTCCTCCTGCACCAAGTGCTTGTGCTGCTTTTCTACATGCCGTGTAACATGTTTTTTGGTATTCCTTTCGTAGTGTATCGCTATGATATCCAGCTCCTTAAGAATAAAGAAAAGTTTAATTTAACAACTGTATGGTTATTCTATTATTAGTTTGTTTATGAGTATTACGTGTATTTCTCACCACAGTGAACGGCAATAAATCCATTCATTATAGAAAAATATTATTTTTACAACACTTCAGTCATTTAACACTCGACACACAATAAACATTTATTATTAATAGATGTAACATAAAATATAATGTAGATATTTACGGTTTGCAATACTACTCTGCCTTTTGTTAGGCATAGAAATTCTACATTTTTTTTATATATATATATAAATAAAACTTTAAAACAGTCTTAAATTTAATTATTTACGGGAAAAAAAAAATTCTATGAAAATTTCGAAAGCAAACAAAATTTTATCAAATAGGGTCGAGATCGAGAAATTATAAAATATGTTGATTCTCATTGATTGACAAGAGCTAAACGTGTAACCAATGAGTTCTTTCGACAATCGCGATCATAGATTATATAATACGGCCGACGTAATTTGGCAGCTCTGAACAGAGGTTAGACTAACTTTGGCGCATGTACACTCGTAAAGAAAACTAATACTGCCATTCATTTCATTACTGGGGAAAATATTTTTTTTTACCTATAGCAAACAAAAGTAACATACCAAGAATTGATTCCAAAAAAATAAGGGCTACGAACACTTATTTTTCACTAAAATATAGATACAAAACAAAAATATAACAAAAGAGAAATAATAATATTAAATTTAACAATAAATAATCACTTTTCTAACGGACTGCGCTCAAGACAGAGATAACAAAATTAACACCAAGGAGTGACCGAGACACACTACTGTTTACCGAACATTACCGAATCTGTACGAAGCCTTGAGAGTGTCGTTTAATCGATTTCTATTGAAATAGATAAAATTGGATCGTTAAAATATAATGTTATAAAAAGCCCTATAAAAGGTATAAATAGTAATTATATAAATAATAACTCATATTTAACTAAATCAGGTAGTTCAATAATGAAAAAAGTTTTTAATGAATTTATCTTCCTTTAAAGGTAATCATGGTATTGTTTATAAACAACACCATTCACTGTGTTTATCAATCCATGTAGTACAGTATCTCATACGATTTAAAATCGATAAAAATCGATTACAAAATTTGATAGAATAAGCGGTTGATTGTGTTGACATTGAGTCAATCACTAGCCACTAGATCTTCGTCCCGCGTCCCTCGCTTTTACCACCGTCACCATCCTTAAGAACGTTTTCTGCATTGCCTGCCAAGTTATATCGGCCGTATTGTACTTTGTTTGACGTCCCAAAAGGTCCACCTCCGCCCGCAAGTTTTCGCCGATACCGCGAATTTTGACCTCCCTCAACGCTCTCCTCAAGTTAAAACCCAAATGTGACCTCTTCGCAGATGATTGGTCACCAATATTAAAAGAATTGCTGCCTTTGAAGTTATCTCCTATTCTTAATTGTTATTGTTTAAATATGTGTGTCTCCAATTAATGTAACTGGCTATTGCCGTTTTAATTGCTGTAAATAAATATTGAAATATACGAAGTAATCATGACTAAAAATAATGCTTCAAATTGAATCGGATTCGATTATTTTTAGTCACGATTTTTTTACAATATGTCACAACTCACAACCATTTTCTTTTATAAACTGATGCAACCCTCGTGTATCTTTTAGATTTTTTAGTAAATTGAAATATCAAATATAATAAAAAATATAAAATTAGTAGGTAGTAGGTAAAATTATATTACAAATTAACTATTAAAAGTAATATAACTTTACCATAGGTACTATTAAATTACTGCGAAATCAGGAATTAATAAGATACAAAAAAAATGTAAATGTGTATGCTTTATGAATGTTTTCTTTATTAATTAATTAAAATATTACCTATATTCTACAAAAAAATACATTATTTGAAGGAAAGAATCAGAGCAGCTATCATTTATGATTTTATAGCTTTTCCAGCACTTATAACAACACCAGCAACTAAAGCAGTAATAGTGAATCCTTGGGCTAGGATTCTCATTCTCATCATATTTTGAGACATCTGCGTTCTACCAGTTCTAAAACACCATAAGCCATATGACAAGGCACCCGCTGTAGCTGCACAACCTTAAATTATAGAATTTATTTCTATTAGTATTATTATCATTATTTTTGACAACATAACAAGACATATGCTTTTTATTATGTTTTTATGTATGCAACCCACCTAAAGGGACAAAAGGATTGTCATTAAATTTCCTAGCAAATTTTTCTTTAGTGGTCTCCCCTTGTGCTACAGTGCCCATTTCGCGGCGTAGTTGCACCCAATCGAGGTCCGTAGGTTCGGCATTTGATTCCGCCATATCAAATATCTGGAATTGTTAGTATAAAATATACCATTTTAAATTTGATTTCACCAAGGTCAAGTTATAATAATGTAAACATTAATATGTTATACAATAAGCACATACCTATTGTAACTTTCAAATCTAAATAATAAATCCAAGATTTAGTAAAAAATATCTAAATATTATATTCGACGGAGCTTTGTCCTTCTCGATTTTATTTTCATTTTCGTCTCAATTTTTATTGACAAAAATAATGATATCACTTGTCATTTGTCAATTAGTAACAGATGCACGTTTTTATTTCTTCAGGATCTTTGAACAGACTCATTCCACCTATTATGTGTCAGTCAACAAATTGTTGTCAAACAAATGTCAAAGTATCGGCCATCTTTCTTTTATATTCGTATTTCATTCACTGATTGGAGTTTTGGGTTGTTTGCCGTGTTGTTTTTCTTACAATGTTATTTTATATTATCATCGATTCTCTCAAAACTGTAAGTAATTAACGTATTGCTTTAATAATTACTTCTCTTAGTCTTTTAGTTCTTAATCTAAAGACAAGCCCTTAAGATTTGTGACCATTATAAAATGGTTATTAGGTACTTAACTAATATAATATGATGATCACGTGCGTGTGTATGTATGAAATATTATTACTATTGATTAGGTTTTATGGTCATATAAAATTTTATTAAAACCTAACCAAAGAGACCACGTCACCTAAATACGTTTAGGACCATAAAACATTAAACATTTTACATTTCCCATAGAAAATCAGTATAAGTTGCCTAGATTAATAAAAAGTATTTTAGATATTGACAGCCAAAACAATTTTGACATTACGGTAATCTACAACAGCGTCAGTGCTATAATACAAATTCTCATGGTTAAATTATGGTGATTGAAACCTTCCTATAACTTTTATTTTACTTTTTGTTTCAGATGCCTTCATCAACTCTATGCTTGAAATCAAGTGCATCTCAAAGGGTCTCTTGAGTGCTCTATTAGATTTTGCTTTAGATTATTGTAATATATAATATTGTTTATATTTCTTATTATATCCCTTAAATGTCACTCTTAAAATCAGTGTTATCAGTACTGCTCAAGATAAAACACACTTAGATATACTATATCATATCAGTTAGCTTTTTGCCTTTGTAAAGGTAGTCTGTTCTTTTTTTATTCAAATTAAATAAACATTTGAGATATTCTTTTAAAATAATGGCATCAAGTGATCCTGAAATCCGTGATGGATTTACTCTACCTGTTTGGATGAAAACGAAACCTGCAAAGTAAGTAGCCAAAACTTTATTCTATACTGTTGGTACTAACTTATTTTTTGTCCAATTAATACCTTATTTATCTGACCTATTTGTATACCTTATATACAACAGTATTGGACAGAGCCTTTTTTAAGTTGATATAAAGCAGTGAACTGCTGCAAACCTTGATTACTGTAGTTTTTATTCCATCCTAAAAATGTACGTCTTTAGTTTTGCGTATTTGTTAATTTTATTTATTATTTATATGTATTATTAAAACAATGTAGGGTATTTTGATCTAATAATATGTTGTATATTTTGAATCCATAACTTATAATTATAGGTCAAGTTCTTAGTTAAACACTGAGGCCAAATCAAGGCTTAGCTTGGAGGTCCATTACGAAAGGGACAAAAGGACCTTCAAGATTTCTCTTAATAGTATTGATCATATAATTTAACATTATGAGATGTCTCATGTGTTCTTCTGTAGTAAATAATAAGGGATGAAATGACATATTCAGTTTTAAAAATTGTGGTCCACCAGAAATATCATGGGGATTTTGTGTTTTTTGTTTCTTTCATCTCCTTATAGAAACACAATAATATTTTTTGAATTCATCAAAAGTCACGGCCAATCAATCGTGATAAGATTTGATGAATGTGTATAAGTATTGGTTTTATTGAAGAATATATTTATACTAAATACTTTATAACTCTTGTTGACTAGTTTATTATATTATTTATAAAGATATTTATTTATATATATATATATTGTATAATAAACAGTAAAAGTAACCTAAACAACTTACCAAGTTTAAGGTGATAAGAAAACATTGTTGATATTTTATGGCTTCTACTTTATGATATAATGCTTGGTGTAGTAGTTATCCTCCTATAATAATTTTATGAAGTGAATATTTTATGTCTCATAAAGATATTTGACTCAATATTTTATATTGTATGAAAAAACCGTGATTAATTTAAAAGGAGAGAAGTAATATTTTAGTTTGCTTTGTATGTATGTATATGTTGTTTAATATAGGTGATAAATTTTACACCGTACGCCTATGAATTGTAGATACCTATCATAATTAGGCAACCTAAAAGAAATAGCACTTGCTATAAAAATATTTCGAGATTTCATATGAGCTATTTATCAGTTCTTTAAAATATGTTATACAAATATTGTAAAAGATAATAATTATTGTTTTGGGCAAATCTTGCAAATGTCAAGCGATACCGCCGAGGTTAAAGCAGAAACCTGTGAGGTCGTCTATACGAGTATCGCTATTTATAAACAAAAGCACATTATCGTCTCATTTTATTTGCCAGGAGGGGTTTTCACGTTATTTGGCACGCACACAATTGTCTAATCTCGCATGCGCCAAACTGTGTTTTAATAGTTTTGTGAAATATTTTATTAACAGAATTACCTCCCTGGCTTTGACCCTTACCGATGACGTCACAGTCAGATGCTTTCTCTGCTGAGGGAGTGCGTCTATAGCTGTCCGCGATTGGTGCGCCACTTGTGACGTCAGCCAGATATTTTTGTTTTGCTGACTTCTCGTATTGCTATCTTGATAAGATACATACGTAGTGCAAATAATTATAAAGCCTAGGCGACATAAAGTAATCTTTCGCACGAATAGTTTGACGTCGTGTTCGGTTATTGCGAGTACTTGTCACAATTTAAATTAATTTGTTAAATTAATAAATACAAATCGAGTAACGTCTGTAATTGTAATTTAACCGTGATGAAGCGCAGGAGTTTAATAGTGAGATTCAACAACTTTAATAGCTTAATTTTGTGAGTATACATACTACTACTTAGTTTATATCATTGTTTAAATTTCCGGCAACTTTTGAAAAAATGTAGGTTTAGTTTCTAATGAAAATAATAAAATTATTTCTAGCTAGCTGTCTAGAAATTATACACGACTCAAACTTTGGCACTTGGGGATTTAATATTTGGCATTATCCCTAATCTTAAATACCTATGCACGTAAAAGAAATGCAGTTCATGGACACAAAACGTCTTTCTATTTATTTAGTTATTACGTGTTGTATATAATATTTTTGTAATAAGTATCTGATTTCATAAAACTACAATGAATCGTTACATCGTTCCAATAAAATTATCTAATGAGGTTTATGGTTCCTCAAATACGTGACGTTGATTTACGTATTGCTCGGGCTTTCCGTGTAATGTTTATTAGCCGTGAACGATTCTCGTGTGACTTGTGTTAAGAAGGCTTTATTTCTTTGTTTGCAGAGAATTCGAACCGTTCTCGTCATCACCGCCCGCGCCGGAGGATTCATTTTTCTACATACGATATCCGAAGCCAGACATTTTGTTCGGCACGACTAAGCTTGAAAATGAACTGCCGAAGGTTATTCAAGAGAAACAGAAGGATGTTACGGCCGCATTCAACAGTATTAAGGAGAGGGACTGGTCAAAACATACTAAGCCATGTCAAGAAGTTCTACACGGGATAGCACCCAACGCTAACATAGGTAAGGGTTTCTTTGAACGTTTTGTAGGTTTTAATATTGTATATCATGATATTAATGACAAATATACCTACGAAATATTTGTCATTAATAACATTGTACATACTAATGTTCAATATTAATAATAGGTAGTGACACAGCTAAAGTGTAAACAAAAACAAATACATGATAGAAGTAGGTACGTGGAGTGTTTGTTTCTATGTCCGATAACAAGTCGCGAATCGTGATGATGTAATCCAAGCAGCATAACGCTCGATATAATCTGCACACAATAGGATCTATACGTAAACCGAATGAGAAAGTTACGAAGTCTGCCTAGATTTGCATTCATCGCCAATAAAAGGTTCAAATCCTTGGAAAATAAAAAATACATTCTTCCCGTAGTACAGAGTACATCTTATCAACTAATCGTAAGTAAAATCTGTAAACGGACAAAGAAAAATGTCTCCATGCCCGACAAACAAATATTTATTTTTTACTCCCAGTTATTATACCACTGTCTAACAACCTATTAAAGAGGTTTTAATAAAACCGGTGTCCCTATTTGTCTTTCGTGACATTTCAAAATCCAGTTTAATCCGGTTCTGCAGAATATCGGTCAAAAAGCAGTCACGAGATTATTGACACCGCAACTGATTGGTGGAAAATGAAGGTGTTTGCCTGTGCAGTTTTTATTATCGATTTTAAATAATGTGACGTCACCGGACCAACGTACTAAGGCAGACGTTAAGTTTCATGTATGCGTTATTATTCTTTTAAGGGCTGGATTGGAATTTGTTATATATTTCATTCGTTAAAGCCATTTCTCGACCCAATTTTTCTGACGGTATAAGCAAAACAAAACGTACGATATACCAAATACATCTTTTGGCTTTTTATCTTTTAATTTATTAAACTAGTATTCGCTCGCGTATTATTTTACATCATAAACAAATACATTTTATCCGCTTTTCATATGTCTTATGGTCACAGAAGTTAAATATCTTGAGTGCTATAAATTTATGTGAATAGTAAATACTTATATAATCTTTGTAATTCCAGCCAGCGCGAACGTGAAGCCAAAACCAGCAGGAACTGACGATGGATTCAAAGGCGAGGGAGCGGCGTGCGGTACTTCTGTGCTCAAGGTTAGTTGCCCGATCAATTTATGCGCCACCTTCTAATGTTCTTTGTGTTGCAACTACTGGTTTATACCACAACCTTTACGTCAGTCTTATTGGAATGCACGTTTTTTAGAAGTATGACTTCGTCTTAACACGACCAGAAATAAAACTCCAGTAGTTTTATGTACGGAAGCTAAATTAATAAGATGACTAGAAATTGTTTATGTTTTGCTGTTATTGAAATGATAATAGTCTCAGTAAAGTATTTATCAACTTAAATATTATGATTAAAATTTGCGTTATGATGCAATCGAGACGGCCAAGGTGCATCACGTGGTATTCTGTTATTTGCACGCTGTATTCTAATTATTCTTAAAGCACTAATTAATGAAATAATCAATTGTGGGTTTTTGAATTTTTATTACTGCTTTGAACTTTCACCGAAGATATGTACGTGGACATAGCAATATATTTATTTCTTTAAAAATGTGTACTCCTCGCGGACAGTATATAATATTCTGACCATGTGACTAAAAGTGTTGTTTATAGTTATTTATATATATATATACCGAAATAAATTGGTTTTATGTGTGTTGATAACTAATTAGTATAAAGAACGTTCGCGTATGGCATAGCGGTAATAAATAGCGCTCGATACTACGTCACTGCGACCTGAATGCATTCGTCAGTGTACGATGCATGTATGTATGCAGGTTCAATTATTATAGCACTCACGGCACTTCCGAGCATTTTGTTCTATTTCTAACGCTAGTGCGCCACTATTTGATCTTCTATTGTTTGAATGTAGACTACAAAATATAGGCATCTCACAGAAATATGGTACAATGCGTGTGTTGGGTGCTTGTAAACTATATCGATCGTTGCATTAGGTTTTTGCAGTTTCTCTAGTTCAGTTGTATTCATGTTTAGTGTTAAATTATGTCTTTGCCGTTTGTGACATACGTAGATTCAGCAATGAGTGTGTTAATAGGTCGCAAACCAGATGATATCGACTCGTACGCCGCGCGGCTTTACTGTGGCATCGCCTTCAGACGATGGTCAAAGCAACGCCCCGGAGGTCGGCCGATACAATCTGATGGCACGACGCGGCAGCAAGAGCCTCCCCACGACACCTATGCATTCACCGCCTTCTAGCCCCAACAGCCGTCGCAAGGCTTACAATAACAGGTAATTTCAAAAGGAACTTAGAAGGAGGACTTTACAAACAAAAGAAAGTAAAAGCTGTTTTGATTTTATATATTTGGAATGATTCTCTTCCTCAAAAGTATGCTAATACATTTTTATTCATATAATTATAAATAGAATTTACTTAAGTGGCTAAACTTAGAACTTGAACTATGACAATTTAATTGTTTAAAATGCTATATCATACATAGTACTATCTAATTAATATATGACATTGCTATTGGTATTATTGGGAAAAAGTTGAGAGATAACAAGACCAACAAATAATTTATTTTAATAAATTTAAACATTTTTAATTATTCAAATGGTAAGACGGTTTACTCGGGGGTGATTTGAATTAGAATTAAACTACACAATAAAATGGAGTTGCAAGTTTGCCATATTTGTATTTTTATCATTAGTTGGTGATGTCATTACTCTTGTCACATGACGGAATGATAAGTAAAGTGTTACAGCTTTCATCGTTACTTTCAAAAAAGATGTCATTACTACTAAGAACTGTATAAACAGATAAAATTAAGTGATAAATTCTGATAAACAAAGTAATAAAGTGGCAATGTTGATACGCAAGATTTAAAAAAAAATTGCTAGACTAATCAAAACAACGTTATCCACTAATAACATGTTTGTCAGTAATTTTGTTCATAATAATAATAAGGGATGTTTTTGTGAAATATTTTCCTATATAGAAAATACAGTTATGATAAGAATAATCAGTTTGCTCCATCCAGTCAGAGCTTTAAGTTATCATTAAATCTTATCCTATTTTGTACAATCAGAATTGCTATTACCTTAAAAAATAACTTTAATGTGAGCAAAAAGAAAAATACGCATAGTAGTGACTAGATTGTAACGATTTTAATAATAATACATTTTTACACTTAGAAATAAGTTACAAATAACAAGATCCTATCATCAATTTCGATTATCTACATATGATAACAAATCTCTTATATTACATAATATTCATATATGTATATAATATATGAATAATTTAATTTCAGATATTTCACATCCCCATTCGAGCCGGTTGAAGATGGCCACGGGCGCTCCTGGCTAACTACTGCTCTTCTTGGATTCAAAAAAGACCTCACCACATCCACTTCTACTTTGGCTGAGGAAGAGATTGTCGAAAATAGATTACAAAGTAAGTATTCACGACATGACGGTTATAAAACGTGCCAAGTGAGGTTATTCGTTACTTTGTGCTCCGTTATCTGTAAAATGGTAGACACAAATCTTGTAACAGAGGTATTTTTAATTGCAAAAGTCCCAATAGAAGTATATCATGTGAAAATTTCAACAATCTATTAAATCTATACATATACAGCTCGGTGGCAGTGTATACATTCTCACAAGTCCCTTTTTCTATAGTAAATCTTATTTTGATTGTCCGTCCTTAAAAAAATAGAAGACAATGGATTTGGTTCAATATTTTTATCGTATTCTTAATGAAATTATATCAGTAAATAACATTATACACATGTTTGATAACTTTTGATAAGGATGATAGTGGATTAGAATACTTATAGAAGAGATAACACTTGAGACTGTTTACGTGGAAATTTACTTAACTGTCGGAAACTATTTGATATCTTGATCTAAAATAATCAAATATTAAACACATAGAACAACGTTCAAAGCATGAAGGCAGCAGTAGTGATTCCAGTTAGACTAAAACAAAAATAAAAATTTGTATATAGTCAACAAATTCTTGACCTTCCGTTTGCAAGAATTTAAATTACGAAACGTGAAAACTAATATTTTATTCGTATATTTTTTGCAGCTATCAGTCTCGCGGAATCAGTTGAGAATTTGGGTCCAGCGCCGAAAGCTAAGGAACCGAAGATATTAATAAGCGAAGCACCGAACCCGGCACCAAAGTCTCCAAAATCACAAGCCTTCCGGGCGAAACCGTCAGAACTGCGCGAAATGAATTTCTGGTCTCCGACATCTATGTGAACTTTTAATACTTCTCTATAGCCATATAGATTGCAAGTGATTAAGTTTATCAACGGAATTGTCTTTTTCACTTCTTAGTATATGCTTAGTTGAATTAAATAAACGATTATTTAGTACATTTCATCATCAGTATTCAATTCAATCATTTTGTAAAAGAAAATCGTTTATTTTATTCGCACTTCGAATCTATTTGAAATCTATATTTGGTCGACGTTTCATTTTAACAATACTAATGATATTATATTGCAGTAAAATGTATTAATTACTTCATTAATTCACACTCGTATACATTCATAATGGTACACCTAAGTTAATTGTTAATATTGATAGTTGTCTGACGGGAATAATCTGTTCCGACACAATAATTCCATTAAGTCTAAGGATAATTCACATAGTAGAAACTGTTAGTTCTATTTAATGTATTTCGTATCTTTAAGATAAACAACATACCCTATGATTTATTATGAAACGTTGTCTTTTTTTCTTCAGTTACATGTTTAAAGGATGGAAAGATAGGTAACGTCCTAAAGAAAATGTTATTTGTATTGACTGTGATCTTACAAGGGTATATTTTTAGACGGAATTGTAATGAAATAGCTCTTTCTTTTCTCTAGTAAGCGTGGTATGTTGGTGTGTAAAAAGTAAAATGAAAATCTCATTGGAAGCCGCCTTTTACTGAATTTAACATCTAGAATGACTTGACGCGAACTTAAGTTTGCTTCTGTAATAATGATAAAAAATATTATAAATTTAGAAATTTTTTCTGTATGCTTTCTGTGTGTTATCGTGAGCAGATAGGTAAATCGAGAAATAATAAGAAATGTATTGTTAAGCAATAATAAATAAACTTCTCTCTACTTAAATATTGGTTTTTTATTTCAAGGTACTTAACATTGTGGTTGGTTTTAATATTAAGTTTGAACTTTTTACATTATTTCATACACTATATATTTACACATTCAATCGAGAGGTCCCTTTCGTGCAATTAAGAAATCGGGTATAGTAAAAAGCTTGCAAAATAAATAAATGTAATATTATTCAATAAATGGAATGTGAGTAATTAAATAAAGAAAGTTGATTCCAAGATGGGTGGCAGTGGATGACTAAAAAAGTTACTTGATCAACATACGTATAATTTAATTTGTGAAAGACAACGGTAGGCAATTAGATATTCAATAAATTGTGTAAGGCTTTCACGACCATCGTTCAGCATATCATTGTCTTTCGGGCTGACACCTCAGGAGAACCTCTTCTCGCTCACATCGGCCGAACAGCCCGAAAGACAACGATAAGATATTCAATGTTAATAAAATTTCTATTCTCATTCAATCTATATTGTGTTGTAAAGTACAGTGCAATCGTGTGTGGAGACTCTATAATGCTCTTAATTATCACAATCATTTTTATAATTCAAGAATTAGGGTTCAAGAATGATTCGATACATATTGTCTATAGTTTACGCGAGTAGTACACATTTAAATAAAACACTTTAACGGTTTAAAACGCGATATATTAGTTTTGCAGCAGCCGGGTGTTTTATTTAAATGATTCGATACAGTTCATAAATCTCTGCATTTCATTCTTCATTGTGTTCGTAGAATTTTGATAATCTGGTTTACAAAACTGACTCTTTCAAGGGAGACATTTAATAAATGTACTTGTTGTTCTCACAACAGTACACATCAGTTTAACTGTCACTTGGCGCATTTCTGAGTCGAAACAATTCTGGAAATGAAATATTTTTAAAGCCATTAGCTAGAGAGCCTTCTCGGTCTAGACTCGGAGTAATCTTTTATTTATCAGTATAAAACTGCAGCGAGCTGAAAGAATTGTATAAAATTAATGATTTTCAAGACGAAACTATTTTCGACAGAGCAAAAGTTTTTTAGGTTCAGGAACTGTATCAAAAATTTAACAAACTTTTTAGAAATGGGTTGTACATAGTGGTAAAGAATTTGGTTTGTAACTGATGTAAGTATTATTACAGAATTATACGTATTATCTACCTTTGAATAGTTCTGCAATAAAGATATAATTAGATATGCCTATTATACGAATTCAAGGAATTAATGGATTCCGCGTACGTTAGAAACATTCTTTAATAACCTAATGTCCCTATTAGATTATTAGCGTAGTGTTTATACTATTAATAGCTATCAATTATACCGGGATTGTCAATTAAATCAGGGAGAAGCGGCTTAATCCGGGTCGGACGCAGGACACAATTATTCATCAGCAGTATAAAGCCGGTTAATCCGACAATATTGACCAGTTTCGTGGTGTCGGAGCGAGGACCTACTATAATACCCTTATTTGATGTTTATAAGCTCGCTCCGACTTTACGCTGCGAAGAAACTGCATTTAAACTGTTATAGGTATTAAGCATTAGGTAGTATTTCATGTATATAATTATGGCTGTAGTAAATACTGTCTCTAGTTTACGCGAATAGTACACATTAAAATAAAACTTTTAAACGGTTTAACTAATATATCGCGTTTTAAACCGGCAAAGTGTTTTATTTAAATATAGCTGTATTATCTGACCTGGCAAACGTTTTTTTGCCATATGAAGTAGGTATCTTGACCAAATTTGATTACCATAAAACCAGTTCTTGTGAGTTAATCTTAAAAGATAGATGTATACTATCCCGGACATTATTTTAGATTATTTAAAGAAGAATCATTCTTTAATACATATTTTAAAGGTATCTACAACTGTTATCGTAACGTACGCAACGGAAACCCACACACAGATGAATAATTTTCCCCGTTGTCGTCACATTTCCCACTGTTTCTTCGCTCCTGATGTTTTATAGCCTGTAGTTTAAAGCCTTAAAAAGATTTACTTTGAAACTAACAAACATACTCTCCAAAAAAACAAAGACTTATAATACAGACATGGTAAACTAAGCTCAATGGTTAATTGCATTAAGTCTGGACCTAGATCGAAACCCCGGGGAAACGATAAATTATTCCGGTCAGGTAGGGCACAAGAGCCTACGGTCACTTCTGGCGTGTAAAAAAATCTATGGGTACGGATAGTGTTCGCCCCATGCCCCACAATAGGAAAGGAACTTTCACTTTTGTACTACAAATGCTACCTTATTGAGTATACTGTAGTTTTAATACTTCAATATTGCAGCTCCTTCAAACACATTTTGTAAGCTAACGAAGAAAAGTTAGAGTCATTATTCATCTAACAATACCCGAAAGCAGACGCAGTTGGGAAAATATTGGCGAAGCCGAGTAATTGATGGGGAATCTTTTGAACTAGCTACAATTTCTCCCTCTGTTGTAAGTTTATGATACTCGTTCTCGGTCGTTAGTGCAAGTGCATGATGAATAAGTAATAACAACATTATGTTGGAGGATTTTTAGGTTATTTTAACACTTGATGTAAGGGCCTAACAATACGACATATAATTAAGACTACTAGAGGAGGACAGACAATAGTAGTAGGGTTCAGTTGATGGTAGGTACCCCAGCGCATCTACACAAGACACGCTGTTGATCTATTTTGGCTTTGGATATCCGGAAATCCACAGACTAAAACCGAAATGCGATTTAGCTTCCCAACTTTTTCATCTGTGGACGGTGGTTCGTGACCAGGAAGGAATTTCTATTTTGCTACCACCCATTAAATTTCACCCATCAAATTATAAATTAGAAACATCTTGGACATGGTGGGGATCGTACCCACGACCCGTTAATTTGGTCACCAGAATTTCACTTGCGTGCTATGCCCTGGGATTTTTTTAACATGTTAAATATTGTAGTACATACTCTGTGTAAAATTTAATCAGTAAATTTAAAAAGTATAGTAACATTGCTAACAATGAACCAAGGAGCCCATCACAAAAATTATATAATTACGTTTGGGTTCCTAATGGTATTAATTTAGTCCCAAAAAATGTACGATATGTCTGTACAAGACGATGATGTTCTAGAATCCTAGTTCTGGTTTCCTCGTAGATTTCCCCAGTGAGCGTCGTATTTTCACAACCTTGATGAAACATTTTAATTCACCTAAGTGAATTAAAATGTTTCAACGGCTATTTCGGAATCGACGTGGTTGACATTTAAAAGGCAAGGCAAAGCGCTTTGTCTGTGTTTATATTTGTAACGTACAACTCCATCCAATTTACTTATAATTTTGTTAATTGTATTTTCTGTTAAATGCCACCTGTTTTTCTTAAATGATTTATTATTTATTGGTCACGGGAAATCTCTCTGTTTAAAGTAATCGCGTATTAAACCGTTAAAGTATATTATTTATTTTATATATTTAAATGTGTATATTATATATTTAATTGTGTACTACTCGCGTAAACTCTGTAGTTTACTTAAATAATTATTTTAAGAATAACCCTAGTCTGTACTAGATTTATTTTTAAAGGAATGTTTTAAGTATTTTTTGAAGCTTACGCGCTACTCGAGTAACACGCGTACACATTTAAATAAATCCTTTAACGGTTTAAAGCATGGCAGATATTAGTTAATTTATCTTTAATTTATTTAAACTACGTTCGTCGTAAAAAAGAGTTTTTTTTTTTAATTATATATTACATACTCATTTTTTGGCTCACTTAGGATTACTAAAGTAAAAAATGTTCAGGTTTCTATCTAAAGTTCTATGCAATATAATGTTAAACCAATTTAAACCTATTTGTTATATATTACAGTAAAATACCTTAAACGTAACATAGTAATTGTTTTATGAAATAATATTTTTGTTTTGTATTCAATTTGTTTTAAAAATTACTTTTTGTGAGTATTATAAAGATAATTTAATACCTAATGAGGTTATAATCGGATTTTTTAACAGTCTCATTACAAATTATTCACCGCTAACCCATGAGCGTTGTTTTAAAAAAATATTAGACTTTACCGTAATAAGAACGCTTATATTGCTAAGTACCTCCGAGCTACGGGGGATATCCAGTTAATTTCATTACGATGTAGATAGAACACGTCGCCATTTTCCTTGGTTGCCTTTGTCG